TCCTCGCCGATGTGGTAATTCGACGTCCCGGCCGAGTCGACGGTAACGTCTAGACCACGCTCTTTTGCGACATGCTTGAGGACCGCCTCGCCCATCGGGGACCGGCAGATGTTTCCTAAACACACGACGAGAACCGAAACTTCCTGCGTGGTCATGGCAGCTAAGCGATGAAGACACAAGTTCGATGAGGCGCTGAGCACAGTGCAGGACGTTAGAATATTGCCATATCGAGCATGCGTAGTGTTCGCAAGATACCTTTCCCAGGAGGACTGCACACATTGCTTCAGGGTCAAGAGCTCTCACTTGTGGGTATAGTTTTCGAGAAAACAATGGTGACCGACTACATGTGTGCATGTGTGGATAAGAAAGAGTTGTATGCTTTAGAGAGTCATGACCCTAGCCGTCGTGTGACACGCTATAACCCAACTACACAGGAATGAACGGCGGAGCGAGCATGTATGAATAAGTCAGGGGAATGGGCATTACACCGGGTCGGTCTATGAAGTAAGAGCTAGGTAGGATGGGTGATAGCACGGTCAAGGATGAACAGCCAACACAGGCACCTCAAGTCGGGCTGTTGTTGTAGGTCGGGGTCTAGTCGCTGTAGTGGAGGAGGTATATACTACACCGCGCGGAAAAGTAAACAAAGTGAGGTAAGGCAGAGGGAACAAGTATTACACCAAGCAAAAGGGAGACAGAGGTGTTATTCACCACTTGATCCACTCGCCGTACATATTCGGGGTCTCCCCGCGAACGTACGCCTCGAACGTCCGCTTCAGGACCGTCGACCAGTCAAGATCCCGCTTGTCATCCGCCACGAGGTCCTCAGGAAACTCAGCCCGCTCAGTCTGTGTCTGAGCCTGGTTTGCACCCGCCTGGGCACGCGCTATCCTCTCGCCATTGATGAAGCGAGGTCCGAGGTCCGGCCAATTCCTAGTAGCATCGAAAGGCTGCCACCTATTTCACCATGTCGATAAGCATACTCTTCTCAGCCATCACGAAACAGGCATACCAAAAGTTGTGGAAGTGGTACGAATACGCGCCCTTGAAGAAGCCGTTGAAACCAAGCGCGTGCGGCGCTGCGCTCTTATCACGAGGAGTGAAGAAGAAATCACCGAATCTAATCAATGAATTTGATCAGTGCGTCACTCGACAAGACACCAACGATGATTGGTCGCCTACTCAGTGAAGTACGGCTGCGGCGGGCGCTCGCGTTGATAGTCCTCCGTGTTCAACCACGCCGAGTCGAACAGCGCGTCGGGTAGGCGCAGTAACAGTGGCTCGAGCGCAGCATCCTTCGTGTACCGCGACACCGTCATCGGATGGAAGTCGAGGCCGTTCTTGAGCGCGGTGCGGAACAAGAACGTGCCAAGCGCCGAGCCCCTGTTCAGCTTCAGGACCGCAGTGTTGTATCTCTCCAGACGCGACCACCGGTACGCGAACGCGCCCTTCCATCCCCAGAGCTCTTCCCAGTCGCGCAGGAGGATCGTGTCTGCGTCGAGGTAGATGCCCCCAAAACGGTGGCACAGGACGAACCGCGCCATATCCGATAGGATAACGGACAGGCGGTCGTACGACGAGGGCGACTTGGAGCCCACGCGGTTCACCTTGTCGTCGTCCTCCGTCGTCTTCGTGCCAGCCACCTGGGACGTGTTCGTTCCATCGCCGCTTTCGGACGACAAACTCTCCTTCTGCTGGGGCACCTTTTCCACGACACCGCCCGAATTGAACAGCATGTCCCGCATGTCGCGCCACTCATCCTTCAGCTCCGGTATGCCGTCCAGTTGCTCAGTCGTGTTCCACAGCTTGAACTGAATCACGTCCTTGAACCGCGGATGCAGGAACGGAGATGCCCAAGGGTTCGACTTCAGCTGTTCGAACATGTCACGCACCGCGGTCGGATTGGGGACAGACGCGGCAGGCCCAGGGTTGATCCATAGCCAGAACTTAGGCCGGCAGATGGTGGGATCGTCGTGCTCGGTGTCGAGGTGCAAACCGACGTTCTGAGTGTAGAGGAACGACAGCAGGGCGAGATAAGGCTTGTCCGTGAACGGGCCCGTCCAGAACATGTGGAACAGGTGCGGATTCTCGTCGCAGGATACCGGGCGGTCGTGATGCGGAATATACTTCGGCGGCGGGGGGAAGTGTACGTGCGGCTCCCAGTCAGCGTTGCGCTTCTTCGTGAAGCCTGCGTTCGGGTCGGCGAGGCCCTGGCTCTTGAGCGCGAGCGCGGGGTTCACCTGCGGGACGGTCTGCGAGCTGTTCTGGAGCTCGCCGTCCTCGACGTAGATATACTTCCATTCGTCCATTTTCCCTCTCCGCACGCGAGCACCATTGTCGAGCCCTCCGCCGAGCCGTAGCACCTCAAGACAATCCCGGACATACTGCGCTCATGTGTGAGCTACGGCATAATGCAACGAACGGTAGATTCAGCCCTACCTTGTTCTGAGAGAAGTCGCAGTGTTCCATGACCACGTCCATGTCCGCCACGCTGCCCGGTAACGGACGCGGGGGATACGCGACATTGGGGGGCTTGCTCTGGATGTCGAGATACACACGCTTAGCACCGATACCGATGGTGTTCGACACCGATGGTGGGCGGAAGCGAGAGGGGATGGTCGACGTCTTCCTGGGCGGCAGCGCAGGGTTGATGGGCGGAGCGGTCAGTCCAATGGTTTCCGGGACTATGATCCGGTCAGACCTGCAACGATAGCGCAATGAAGTACGTATAACAAGTACTCACTTTTGTGCGCGCTCGGGTAGTGTCCAGCAGCGACCTCCCACTCCCATATTCGCTGGAGATCCTCGCGTCTGTAAACGAGCGTCGGCGGCTCTTGGTACGCCGGCCAGTTCCTGTCCTCTGGCACGAAACGATCCCGCAGCGAGAACATCATCGCTATTGTGAACACGAACGCGAGGAAGCCTGCTGCGAGTATCAACCTGCCTCTCCTCCTGCCAAAGCGCGTGGTAGTGGTCTGGTGCAGCTTGGGAACGTTTGGCAGCATCAGGCGCAAGCGACGTGTGCGGACGCCCGGGATAGGTAGAGATATGGGGATGAGCCAGGACGAGGAGTAGTGATGACGCTGCCACTTTTCGCGCACGGCGGAGGAGTGCAAGGGGAGGCCGTTGGCTGTTCGCGCTTTTTCGGCATGACCGTTTCCGCGCTGCGGGAAGTATATGGAGGATGCCATGTCGGGGAGGTCCGGAGGCCCAGCGGCGCGAATGCTGGGGACTAGGAGAGCTATAGGCTAGTACGCCGTGGGGGTAGATGCGGAGAGACGGGGTGGAAGACGGGGTCGGACGAGCAAGCGTTGCAAGACGTGGACGAGCAGTGGTCGCTCGACTCTCCGCCTCTCTCGCATCTTGTGCCACGTGCGCTTCCCGTCCATATCTCGAGCCGCCCTCGTACAAACCCTCAACGTTGAACTCTGTTTGTCACTCTAACTCGACCACGGGTCGTACATGTACTGTCGACAATGCAGATTCTATGTGTGATTTTGCCCTGAGCTTTGCTACTATTATTACAGTGGTCATACATCTACTCTTTTCCCGCGCACGCTCCCTATCTAACTGGCGCCCAGAGGTTGCTGAGCCAAGTCGGCCGGGTCCGTCGGCACAGACAGGATGCGCAGCGTGTTCGTGTGTCCGAGGCCACCTTTCCAGCCCTGGACGGCCACGATGGTCGTACCTGTCTTGATGATGTTGAGCGCAAGCGCATTCCGGAGGCCGAACCTGATGCGATTATCGACCTGGAAGGGGTACATCCTTCAGTACAATGGCTCAGCACATAGACTATCGTAATCCTCCTTACGTCCGTTTGCCACTGGTGGGCCTCGATGCCACGCGGCTCGGGGTACCAGAAGGGATAGCACCCCCTGTGGAGGTGAATCTGGCGCGCCGTCTGTTGGTTGCGGGTAACTGCTCACAACGAACGTTAACATTGATTCATGTATCACCTGTCGCGAGACATACCAGTGATGATGGGGACCGAAGGCCGGTACTTCGAGATCAGACGTGCGGTGTTGCCACTGGTCGAAAGCACGACAATCGCGCTCGCGTTCTGCTCCGACGCCGCGGCAACAGCGGCCAACGCCACGGTCTCGACAGTCTCCGTGGGGCGAGACGTGATGTCACGCAGCTCGTCGTACAAGGCAGGGTAACAGATTGCATTCTCCGCGAGCAAGCAGGTCTCCGCCATCATGAGGACTGTTTGGGCGTATGAGTGCAGGCTGCACCACACCATAGAAACTGAGCTTACCAGACTGGATAGGGTACGAGCCCTTGGCAGTCTCACCAGAAAGCATGACGCAGTCTGCGCCGTCCATGACGGCGTTCGCAACATCGCTGACCTCTGCACGGGTGGGACGAGGGTTGTACTACAACCGAAGGAAATGAGCTGGCGCCTAACATACAGAAACCTTGAACCCACCGTCATGGACTCGAGCATCTGAGTGGCGACGATGACGGGCTTGCCGGCCTTGTTGCACTTGGCGATCATCATCTTCTGAGCGAGGAAGACCTGACTGGCAGGAATCTCAATACCAAGATCACCACGCGCCACCATGACACCGTCGGTCTCCTTGAGGATCTCGTCGAAGTTCGCGACACCTTGCTCGTTTTCGATCTTGACAATGATCTTGATGTTCGCGCCGTCGGGACCAAGCACACGGCGAATGTCGCGCACGTCCTCTGCGCGACGGATGAACGACGCGAAGATCATGTCAACGCCGTTTTTGACACCGAACTGGAGGTCAGCCTTGTCCTTCTCGGACAGAGCGGGAAGGTCGACGTCCGTCTTGGGCAAATTGACGCCCTTGCGAGAGCTGATGTTGCCGTTGTTGAGCGCACGGACGCGCACATTATCGCCCTCGACGGCGAGAACGAGAAGGGAGAGAATACCGTCGTCAACATAGACGAGCTTGCCCGGCGCAGTGACCTTGGGCAGGTTTTTCTGGACGCATACGAAATCAGCTTGGAGTATACGCTTCTTACTGGCTTGCATACTCACGTAGTCGACGTACATGACCTTGTCATCGCAGACATTCTTGTATTGGTCGTCTGTAGAAAGGAGGAACTCATGACCGGCCTTGATGGGCCACTGAAGTGATATTGAGTATCAGTAAGAAACAAGGTGTAGCCGAACGATGACATGGGTGCGAACTCACGTCGCGTTTGTCCCTCGTCAAACCAGTACGGATCTCCGGCCCTTTCTGCACAATTGGTCAGTCACCGTTGTCTTCGCGAGCGTAAGAGATACTCATACAGTGTCCAAGGCAATGGCAACAGGGCGGCCCTCAGGCTCAACTACGAGCCGATGAACATTCGTGTATGACACAATCCAAGTAGAAAGGACGTACGCGACACCATCTTCCTGGTGTTGTCGATAACGCTCTGGTGGTATTCGTACTCTCCATGGGAGAAGTTCATCCGAACTGGGATTCGCCACGGTTATACGCATACATAGATGAGAACACAGCAGCAGGCGGACACAGAACAAAAACACACCGATGTTCACACCCGCCCGGCGCAACTCCGCAAGCTTCTCGACTGTGTTAACATTCGGCCCTGCATTTCCGTAGCGGTCAGACATGAGATCGTGATGGACGTGACGCGTACAGCGCACCAATCGTCGCGATAATGGACGTCTATGTTCCGCGCACCGACCGAAAAGTCAGCTGCTGTGGCTGAAAACAAAAATCATGGGCAATCGCGCGCGACGGTACAGACCTTGCGGTGATATTTAGTCTCTTCCGTCGGCACCTGAGCCTTTGTGGGGTCGAGCGAGGCAGACCATTCGACGCGGGAGGTGATCGGATTGGCCATAGCGAGTAAACAGTGAGTCGGCGACGAGGACAGACCTGCTGGTGGTATGAGGAAGGGGCGAAAAGATCTGCGATGGGTTTTATCTACGCAGGGGGCGCGGAGCTAAAGGGGACGATGATGCGCCGATATAAATGTTTATCTCCTCGCACTGGGCCCGCGCTTCGCCACTGCGTTCTATTCGTGACCGCCATCTCTGTTCGTGACAGCCATCTCCGAGTCGTCCCCGAACTGCTCTAATCGCATTGGCCAAGACCTCGCACAGTCTCTGACGTCTTTATGAACGTGTCTGGCGGTCATAGGCGACGATCTCTACAATGCGCCGAGTCCGTCTACAAGTCAAGGTGGCCCGAGTCCCCGCTCCTATCGATGGCGCGGCCGGCTTGCCTCCGTGCCTGCCCCAGCGCGGCAACAAGGCTGGTGTGATATGTACGCTCCCCAAAGATCCCACTTGTAACACTCGATCGTACACCACATGTAGTCGGACGATAAGCCGACTTGCGTAAAGATGAGAGCATTGAATATCTTAACAGAAGGAGCAATGTGTCTGCATCGTGCCGTCGTGTTCACACACAGATACAACATCCTCCTTGGCATGGTCCACGACGCCGTCTTGGGCTTGGACATCGGTGAATTGGACTTGGGCTGAAGATTATAGTGGGACGACTATTGCACAATGGAACGGTCACGTGATAATCATGTAGAATACGTCAATGTCGTCTGTCCGTACCACTGGCAGCGAGTCCATATTGACACAGTCCGCAACATCGCAGATTGTGCTCGCCATCAGAAATATCCATAGTGCCGCGTAGGTTTACTCACCTCTAGATCTGGAGGTGTCTCTCCCGTAGTGTTAGACTCAGACGGCAACGCCTAGGCGAGCAAGAAATCTCAGCAATCAAGAGCAGCAATCATTCGTATGCGACTCACTGGTAACGCCTTATGCACATTTGGAGACCATGAATTGACCTTCTTCACAAACTGCTCACGACTGGTGGACAGGTAGGCAGCACCTTCAATGTCGGATTTGAAAGTCGAGGAAACCGTGGCTGCAGCTAGCGGTAACTTCATCCATGGAACCGTCATACGTAGAGGCTGGGAGGATGTTCGAGTACTACTCCTTCCATAGCCATAGCTCGTTAAAATGCTCGCACTAATCCTCTGCGCTACTCCGCCTGACTCGCGCAACCCAACGAGGACCACTATGAGTGTATAGGACACGCCCTACGAGCGTCGTGCATCAGTGACCGTACAAGCACCTAGTATGGGGCTTACGATAATAGGCGTCAGTGCATCGATGCAGAACATCTCCGGGTTGATGCCTGCAAGGAATGTAGCTAGGAGTAAGAGGAGAACAATGGTGTACAGCGCTGCAGACTGTATGAGGGCGACCAGGACACTCCGCTGCGCCTCCAGCGGGCCCCTGCCTTGTTTGGATGCCTTCCGATTTGACCAGTAAATGCATATGATGATCCATGCTGCAGATAAATGGAGAGGGTCAGTCACTGGGGTGCAGCTTTAATAACGTACTGACTTGTGGTGAATACGTTTGAAACTGTAGCAAGCAGAAGGAATGCTGCCAGCCACTGAGAACCGCTGTCGCTGAGACTTGGTACTCTCCAGCTTCCCCAGGGGAACACGAGGCATGAGATGTATCCAGTTGCTGCGGCAGTACACATTAGAATATATTGTCATGATGGATGAGAATATGCTCTCCACCTGCAGTTCCGAGCAAAAGAATGGTGGTGATGAGTAGTATGTAAGGGTTATAGTCTGACACAACGAAAGCCCGGTAAGCCTACGATATCCTGACCGTCATAAGCAAAATCAATGCCCAAGCAAGTCAACACGTACCATAACAGTGTCACCCAGGAGGGTTTGCGTTGTGTAAATGAATTGTTTAGCTATGTACGTGGGCTTCTGAGCATCGGTGAAGTAACCGAAGGCGCTTTTCACGCCATAATCGGTAACAAACGCATCGAACCCGCGCGCCACGTCGATGGTGAGGTGCTAAACTTGATCAACACCTGTGAGCACCTGCGGAAGGTATCCTAGACGTACTGCACCCGCCAGGAGTAACATGAAAGTAGCCACGCCGCAGAGAGAGAGGATGCTTCGAGTGGATTTCACGCGGATCTTAGGCAAGCTAACCCACAGCGCCATACTGTATAGCACAACGAAGATGCCGAAAAAGAGAGATTCGAAGAAGAAAGAAAAGAACTAGGGCAGGTGGCACATGGTCAATGGCAGAAACGATATAGATAAAGACATGACAACCATACCTGCGCTGCAGGGACGACCATGAAATCGGAGTGCGCCATAGTGGTAGCCAACCCGCAGCCACTACATCAACAGTGAACATCAGTCCAGCCGAGCCCAGAGTCGAGTGTGAAGAGGAAGACGCACCAAGTGGGTGTTAAAGTCGAGATTCTGCACCTCCCAGCGAATCTATTAATGCCCGACTGATTGTGCCCACACCAGTGCAGTCGGTGAGAAGGGCTCATTACGGCGCATTGCCGTTGTCTATGCTTCCCCACTACCTGTGCAAGTTCGCAGTCAGCAACGACGCCGAAAACGCGCGGATGTAGAGAGAAGGTGCTGTGTATGAGCTGATTCAACAAAGAGAAGCGTCGGTGTGGACACAACTGTATCGGACATATCGAGAAAACAGCAAGATCCTTTTCAACGCACAACAAGCATGCAACCGTCACGTCCAGACGTAGCCACCACAGCATAGAGATGGCTGTCAATACGCCATCTCCAGTGTTTATGAAAATGGGAAGGCCAGATGCCATACCGCTACGTCGGAACTTCTCGAGCCTCGACCAAAATCATCCGCGTGTGCAGACTCCTGGGTCAGACCTGAGACAATATAAGAGACTAGAACGAGAGTTACGTGTTGACAATCTGCCAATGGGAGCAGATGAGGAACGATTTCATCGGTTTCGATGCCGGTCAATACCGGCTCCTGCACAGCTTGGCCATCTGGCGCGCGGCTCTTTTTGGTGGCATATACCTCTGTCAGACATCTACACCAGCTAGTATGTTAATCGTTGGGACCTTCATACCCAAATTTGCACCCTCTCCTGCACAAAAGGCTGTATTTCATTGCCTCAAACCGCCTCGACTATTGGTCAGACGGTCTGGGTGTCCCAAGCAGAACTTCAAGATCTCCACACTATAGTCTTCCATCAGTGCGTTCTCCGATTGCACCTGGTGCAAACTGGAGAGGCTACTGGAACCTGGGTAATTGCCGGGATATCTGAGTTGAGTATTTGCCTTATTCACACTGAGAATGTCGATAGTACCCTCATGACAACTCACCTCAGTGAGGTTACATTTGGCCTGGCATCCCTGAATGCTTCCCGCTTCACTGAATGAAGGTCGACCCGGTAGGTGAATATCAGAGGTACATCTTGGTAGCTAATCGGCTTTCTGTGACAGTACGTTGGCGGCTTTGTGCGATGTCACTCGCGCTGCGACTTCGCGCTACAAGCGCCTCGCAACTAATCCGCCATGTTGGCACACACCACAAACCCCGCCGCGTCCTTGTGACAGTCCTCTCTACTGCGAAGAGTGTAACCCATGCGGCCAATTGCCTCGTTATCTGGCAATGGGAGACACACACTTCATTTGCCGAAGACTGTGCGCAGTTATGCGTGCAGACTGCGCGCGGCGCCAGTAAGCTGCGGACTACACCAAGTCCCATCGATTTGCGCTGAACTCATCAACCCCTTACAGTATTGCGACACTAAACCAGGCCTCGTACAAGCCATCAAGTTCGACGTAAATTGCTGCGCCGGATGCGAGTTTTGACGAAATTGGATTGGGCTCCCGGTCTCCAAACTTCGACCTTCTCCCGCAGTCAACTGCCAGAGGACCAGGCGCTCCTCATAAATTTCGCCATGTCCTGTTGGACTCTCCCCATCGTACTGCTTCTCCCTCAGTGCTTTGGTGGCCTGGTCATTGGTCTCCATCCCGTGAAGCTGCGATCGTATCCTGTCTTTACTCGTACTTCAGCCCCTCGTGTTCACGATGCTCCCTTCGACGCCTTTCCCTAGTGCTAATGCAACCATGGCATACATGAGTATGAACAACTCTTGTCATCTTTGCACAGGCTGACCCAACGCTATTTGTGTATCTGTGCTCGGTCGCGGATAAGCTGAGAATGGGCCACCCGCGAGCACCGGAAGACCTCGCCCGGTACCTGCCTCCGCCTCCAAAGTCGTCAGTCCTGTCGCTGTCAGTATCTCAATAACCTTGGTACTGTCGATCTTCGTGTGGCGATTCGTCGTCTGCATCCGACGCGGACGACGGGAGAGGTCTCCCGGTCTCCTTGCCAGCTTGGGTCTTGTACCGAGACCTCGACTTTACGAGCCACTGCTGGTGCCTCCACGCTTCGTATCAGGTGTGAACGGGGGATGGGGGAGCCTGATGGTCAGCTACATCTTGTGTCTTGGACGTTTTTCAGGCTGACCGATAGACAGCCATTGACGATGAGCTATCTCCCCGTCGACGATCTGCCTACCACTTCGCAGTCTTCAAGGCGGCGTTTTGAACGGAGAAGGGACGTGGGTGTCAGCCGGCGTGCGCAAGTCATGGTCTTGGTCGCATTGCCTACGGCGCAGAATGCACGGACGGGCCCTCCTGCGTCGTGTATTGGGGTCGTCGATGTTCGATGTTCGTAATTACAGCGTCCTCGCCTACCAGCAGAACCTCCTGACATGCAATATAATTTTGTTAGATGACTCTCATGGAGCTTTCTAGAGAATATGAATCGTACGGTATCATTGTGTCGCAGGGAACGTTCAGATCGGTAGACTTGGGTGCTCTGTATCACCCGTCTCCATATTTGTTGTCGGTCCATCATGATTTCTGCTTGCACCGGCAGCCTGCCTAGAGGGTATTGGTGCGGCCAACGTATCATTCGTATTGCACATATCACGAGCTGACGAGGTATTTACGTATGCTTTTACCTGTATTTATAAACGGATCGTGGTAGGTCCTCAGGCCTCACCATGGGCCTGGCGCCCCCGGAAAACCCCCGGTTCGACAAGGCAAAAAGCGCGTTCAACGGTCGCACCGTGGAAATGGGATCTCACCGTTGAATATCACCCGTCAGTTATCCGCGGCGGCAACGTGTTTTTACATCCGTAGAGATTTACCACCTGAGACGCCAAGCTGAACGGGGTTATTCCACGGTTGCTCTCGGTATCCGCAAACAATCCTGCATGTGCCGGCCCTAAACATGGGCGCCAAATGCCAGTCGCCCTGATTCTGACCATTCTCTCGTCTGCATCGACATTCTCCTGTTGCTTGTGACATCTGACTTTCATGGAACTATCTTAGGGTGCGTTGGGTGCATGACTGCTGTCGTGTCTACATTTCTTGGTCCCCTTTATCACCGTTCCTGGGGTGTCCATACAGTACCAGAGTCGTCGGGCAGAGCCCAGTGATGGACGGTCGGCATAAGGTAAGTCGCAATCTTCAGAGTTGTGAGTTTCTCAGGTAAGTCCAGCTATGTTGTTTGGCCATTCTGGCAAAGATATCGATCAGGTAAGTCACTCTTCTCAAATATCTGCATTCTCCCCGGTGAGTATTTGCTGCTCTTCCCTGAATATCTGACTCCGTCTACCCAAACTCCCATATGTGTCCTTAGTGTTGGCATGGATGTACTGCAGGAGTGGCAAGGGTCAAAAGGACGTGGTCGTTGAGAGTACCAGAGGGTCTCGAGCTTGCATAGTTTATATCAATATCCCTACCTGCACTATGTACTCAGCATGCCGTAATGCGACTGTAACGCTGCAATCTGCAGCGTGTTTAGCTACACTATTGTACTGCATCATAAGTGATTCCCTATTGATATCCAGCTGGCGCAAGCGAGGATCCGGCACCCGGAAACCGTGCAAATTCCCATGTTTTACAGATGTAAATCCCACCCTTCCAACCCGCTGTCTAACCGAGGTTTTTCGCCTGTCTGAGACCACACCAGATTGACCGTGGAAAGCCGTCATCTTGACGCGCTTTTTGCTCGTCCATAAACCGGTGTTCACTCAGGGTGTTCTGCTCCATTTCCTTGGCCGGACCGCACTATTTCCTCGGTTTTCTCCTGTGGGTTTTGCACAGTCCCGGGCGCCATAGTGCCTAAGGCTACATCACTCTTCGGTGCGTAGATCCATACAACTTTCCACACCACCAGAGAATTGGGCAAAGGCAAAAATGGTCTATTCATTATATACCTACTAGACTAGCACTTCGTTGTCTGCTCAGCAGGACCTCCGATGGAGTTGTAAGGTGTACAAAGGGGTAATTCAGAGCAGATGCAGATGAAGCAGTGTGGCTGCTAGCTAGCGCTATTTCAAGACGTCATCGCAGCTGACATATGATTCGCCCATTTTGAGTCCCTCAAGATGCTACTTCGACGTGTACACTAGTGTTGAGAAGGACTAGATAGCTACTGTGGTATAGATCAACTTATGCAATTCGCATGCAACCTCAATGAGACACGCAGGCGGACTATGTATTACGGTACCAATAAGGAGTGGATCACTATGGATCGGGGAAGTGGATCTTGATGGGAAGGTAGCGACAGCACGTGTTGGATCGATGAGGATATAGCACCAGCCATATCGCTCGCGCATGCTTCCTCCCTACTCCTCATCATCTCTGCTCACCGCCTAACGACCCCTCAGGACCACCATGGATGAAGAGTACGATGTATGCCATTTCCCGCACTCATACAAATTGGCTACCATAACCGACTGCGTTAATAGGTAATCGTTCTCGGTACCGGCTTGACCGAATGTATTCTGTCTGGTCTCCTGTCTGTTGAGGGCAAGAAGGTCCTCCACATGGACCGCAATGACTACTACGGCGGCGACAGTGCTTCCCTGAACCTCACTCAGGTTAGCTTCAACGTCAGATCCCTCTGGCATCGGCTCATCTGAATGCATGATCTGCATGTATAGCTCTACCGCAAGTTCCGTGATGGCGCCTCTCCTCCCCAGGACCTCGGTCGCGACCGCGACTATGCGGTTGACCTCATCCCTAAATTCATTATCGCGTCCGGCGAGCTCACCCGCATCCTGGTCCATACCGATGTGACACGTTACCTCGAGTTCAAGCAGATCGCGGGCAGCTTCGTTTACCGCGATGGCAAGATCAGCAAGGTCCCCAGTACGGAGATGGAGGCGGTCAAGAGCCCGCTCATGGGTCTCTTTGAGAAGCGGAGGGCAAAGAAATTTTTTGAATTCCTCCAGACCTGGAAGGATGAAGATCCGGCGACTCATCAGGGTAAGTCGTTTTGACGACATCTGCCGCCCAGCTTCGTTGAGCAAAAGGGTCGCAGGCATCGATTTGGACAAGGACACCATGTCTACCGTCTATGAGAAGTTCGGCCTCGAACCTGGAACCCAAGATTTCATTGGTCATGCCATGGCGCTCTACCTTGACGACGAGTAAGCAACTCGCCTTGTCGTGTGTGCATTCATTGATCTTTGTGCAGCTACAAGAAGAAGCCTGCACGGCCAACCTACGAGCGTATCGTCCTCTACACCTCTTCTATGGCTCGCTATGGAAAATCACCGTACATCTACCCCCTCTATGGTCTCGGCGAGCTTCCCCAGGCGTTCGCCCGTCTGAGTGCCATTTACGGCGGTACATACATGCTCGACAAGCCCATCGACGAGATCGTCACAGACGCCGATGGCAAGTTCGTCGGCGTCCGCTCCGGCAACGAGACTGTCAAGGCCAAGCAGGTCGTTGGTGACCCCAGCTACTTCGGTGCCGGTAAGGCCCAGGAAGGCGGGAAGGTCCGCGTCATCGAGGAGGGCAAGGTTGTTCGTGCGATCTGCTTCCTCAAGCACCCTATCCCCGGCACAGACGACGCGGACTCCGCACAGATTATCATTCCCCAGAACCAGGTTGGCCGCCGCAACGACATCTACGTCGCGTTGGTGTCTTCCACCCACAATGTCTGCGCAAAGGACGTCTACGTCGCGATTGTCTCTACTGTTGTCGAGACCGACCGGCCCGAGCAGGAGATCCAGCCCGGTCTTGCGCTCCTCGGCCCCATCCACGAGAAGTTTGTTTCGGTTTCCTCGTTGTATACCCCTACATCTACGGGCGAGACGGACAACATCTTCATCACCCGCTCGTACGACGCGACCTCCCATTTCGAGACCGTCGTTGACGATGTGCACGACGTCTGGAAGAGGATCTTCGGTGGCAAGGAGCTCGTGCTTAAGAAGCGCGACGTTCAAGTCGAGGCTTAGATAATCTATCTCTGCCCTGTTGAAGGTATTCGATTACGTCTTTACGCATATTCATGCTGGTGTTGGTTTGGTCGCCGTTTACGTCCAATTCATGTATAGGAAGTAGGAAGACACATTTCATCACTGTACTTGTCACAGGAAAACATTCATCGCATGTTCGAGCGGTCTCCGCGTGAGCCTGACACAAACTCGTGTACGAATCATACGCAAAAACCCGAGGAGGGTATCAGAAGAATGCATTCATGTCGAACTCGGGTACACTGACATCCTGCTTGGCGGATTTCATGAGGCTGCCGATGCCCGCTTTGCGCGCAACGAGGTCGCCTTCCTCCTTGAACTCCTCCCTGGTGATCGGCAGAGGTGATTTGTCCCGAGTCGGTGACCCTGTTGGCGATGCTCTCCGTGTCGTAGGCGCAGTTGTGACGTCAATATCGATGAGGATGGATGACTTGTTACGCAACGCAGGCTCGAGCGCAAAGCGCGTGGAGATGGGGCTCGGTGGGTGAAGGGCTCGGCTGTCCCTGACCACTGTCGATGGTCTCTCAAATGACCATGTTCGTACGAGATCCAGCGCGAGCGCATGACAACCTATGACACATGTCAACGCCGCGCTATACCCATGAGAATAACGAAGCATACCCATTCTGCAGAAAACGCGTGCGATCTGCAAGACAAAATTGAATTCGGTGCGACCAGAGATCTCGCTGGTGCCCTGCGCGGTCTGTAGCGTTTTCGACTTCAGCTGCGAAAAGAGCAAGGCCAAACTTGGGTCGTCGTAGTGAGGGTCGCCGATCTCGGGGATGTTAGCATCCACAGCAGATGCTACGTCCTCCAGTGGATTCTGTGATCCTTGATGAGCACAGGACATCAGATCGAGTGAGTATAGATGGGAACTTACCACCAAAATCCGAACGGCGAGATCACGTCGGCGAAGCAGCCAGCATGCCCAACTCGCTAACCATCTATTTCCATCTTTGAAGGCCAACGGGATGACAGTTCCGGTCAAGATGTCTTGTAGGATGGGGCCGTCATCGCCCTCTACCACCCGAGCAAGTGCGACTGCCAGCTGCCAATCCCTGACGTTCTTCAAGAGCACGCTCACGGCATCCTTAAGGCTACCGCCTAGAAGGAAGAAGGCCGCAGCATATTCTGCATGCATGTCAGATCGACAATTGAATCATACTGCGGAGGGTGGAACAGTCGTACCGAAACGGCGCTTGCTCAGCAATGCGAACGCGTTCTTCTGCGCCGCAGTGCGCCAACGAGGCTCATTGAAGTCGTTGTTGAGGAACTTGAGCATCACTTGCTGTTCTTTGTGCCACGCCGCCTGCCGCCAGAGCCCATGCACAAGCTTGACTTTGCCGAGCGCGAAGTAGAACAAGCTACATGCCGTAGGGTCGCGGTTGTCTCCGGCCATGTACTCGTTGCGAGCTATTACTTCTAGGTGTGCTCGCTACCCAAACGTATACTGTTGGCTGCAGCGGACGAACCAAATATAAATAAGAGTACTGACCATGGCGTCTCGAGATTGCATCCAGACGAACACGCCTAGCGCCCGTGCATCTGCCCAACTCATCTTGCCGTGACTGCACGCGGCCACGGATGTCGAGAGAAGCAGCTCCTGGCTCTCGCTGTGAAACGCCCAAATCATGTCCCGATACCGTAGCCGCTCGCGTCGTTCTAGACGCAAACCCGATGCTATAGCACTAGTGCCATTGGCCGTAGACGTTGGAGTGCTCGGTTCCGAGGCACGACGATTCAGTATGTAAAAGTTGCGCATGGAGATGAGGTACCGAAGTCCATTCGGGTCGAGTGCGCGGCGCTGTTGGTCGATCTTCACAAGACCGTTAGCGGTGAGGTCCCTAGGACGAAGGACGGGCAGTCAACGTACTTCCAGCGTTGTCTGGATAAGGATAAGCAAAGACGCATGCTCCTTCGGGGTAAGATGAGGGATCGGTTTCTCCTCCAAGCGATCGAGCAGCTTCTGAATGGCTGGCGGGGAGAAGGGGTCCTCGTCGGGGCTGTATGGCAAAGCGGAATCAACAGACGATCGCCGTTACGAACACAGAAACGTACTCATCCCTACTATCCAGAGTGTCGAACAGTAAAGAGTGCTGCGGCTTGCGCGGCCCTTTGACCTAAACAATCCTTTCGTCAGCTTCTCCTTCATGCATTTTCGAGGTGGAACTGACCGGTCGAGCCGTCTCATGCTCAGTCCGGAAGTATTCTTCAATCGGAAGGTTCTCCCATTCATGTATGCTCTTGCCGGACTCGACGTTGTGAGAGAGGTTGATGACGACCTTCTTCACCAGTTCGATTTTGCCTGCCATACCGCCTCAGCAATAGCTGCGCCACGGAAGCAGCGCACATACCCCAAAGCAGGCATTGTAGAATCATCTGCGGGTTCCAGTCATCCAGCGGTCCGTTCAGCCTCGCGACATGCTCGAACAAGCTCTCTTTCTCCGATTCGATAGGGCCAACTTGACCCTTCTGGCCGTACATGAATTGGAGATGTCCTGCACCGACCAGCAGCGTTCCTCGAGCCAGCCAGATAGAGTCACTGATCGGATGAGGGATCATACTATGCGGACAAAGTCAGCACACTCCCTTCCCAGAATACAGAAAACTGCACGCCTTCCTATGTCAATCCTCCAACACACGCCCCATCCCGGAGTCTCGTCGAAGTACGTTGCGCGTTGCTGGCATAGCAGCTCGACCCTATGAGCGAAACCGACGGCGAGGATAGACTGATTATCCGGCGTCGCTGTCCAGTCTAGATCATTCACAGGGTCCGATAAACTGCGGAAGGGGGTTCGATAGCAATATCTCCGGATGATAGAAGCAGACTTACCTAAAGACTTGACGGTACTCGAGTCCGAGGGAGAACTCCGATACCTTGGAGTCCCAGATGGTCAGCTCCTCCCCTTCAGGGCCGGGAACGACTGCATCGGGGCGATAGTATTAGCTGCAGAGCTGGGCTCGAACGTAAAGCGTTGAGCGGCACGCACCGAGACAGGACTTCTTCGCGGAGCTACAGCGTGCCCGCGTGATGCCTTTCCTGCCCGTTCGCACCTTCCCCGTACACTTCCACGCCGCTCCCGCTGCAGCGCCATTTGCAGCCAAGGCAACTCCGTTGACCGCCGGCACCAACAAGTCGTTCTCGGGAGCCCAAAACGCGAGCTCTCCCTCTTCAGATATGCTCAGCAGCACGCCGTGCCGCTCTCCGGCGCGGGTGTCTGAAGGCAATTGTCCGACCCAAGACATTGGATCGACAGGGAGAATCATCTTTGACGGCGTAGAGAACGGTAAGGAAAGCTCGGAGAACAGTGTCAAAGAAGGTGCCGTGGTGGATAGAGTGGCGGAAACGAGGAGGATTGTCTGGGAAGCGGTGACCCCTACCAGAGTGCGCACCGGCTGCGAGTGGGGAGCCGAGAGCACGAACAACAGACTCAATGAAGGGACGGCGAGGGAGACGGGCGGAGACGTGTGGAGAATGACAAGGCCGGTCTCGGAGGAGTACGTGGCAAAGTAGCGACCTGCACATATCAGTTGATGTGAGCGATGGGCATATTACAGGGTTGACAACAGCACGGACCGGCATCGATGACGACAAAATGGTCCACATGTCCAGTCTCTTCGGCGGACCATTTTCCCGTTTTCACCAAGCTCCTGGTCTTGGCCCAGTCGTAAGCCCAGACTTCCCCGCACCCGTCTGCGCATATCAAACCGACGCCCTCGCCGTTTGGTGTCCTCACATAGCGCACGATCTCCGCTCGAGGATCCTCCGTGACTGAACCGTCCGCATGCGAGTGCTCTGCCCCGGATGCCACTTTCCTTAGACCCTCTGCTCGAGCATCAAAGAAGAGAAGCACTGAGAGCTCGTAGGATGCGAGAGGTGGAGAGGTGACAAGTGTGAGTATCCCCTTTGCGGGGTTCGGCACAACGTAGAGATGCCCAGGAGGTCCAGGTAGTATTCCTGGAGCCGTTTGGAGGAGGGTGAACTGATTCAGGAGCGTGGGTGGTCGACGGTCGATGTTCTGCCCTTTGAATGAGGACGCATACAATCAGTCATCAAGAAGTAGCATGACGCACCGCGACGCCCTGCACGACCATCGAACCATCGCCTAGCACACGAAGGAAGATGTCCCATCCCTCTTCTGCAATTTCCCGTATCCGTCGTCGTCGTGCGTCCTCTTCTGCGGTCACGGGGTCGGAGAGTACCGACTTGAGTGCGGCCCCCATGACTTCACGGTCCAGCCAGTAAATACCGGAGCTGCTCTGTTGTGACGCGATCGAGAAAGGTAATGAGGAGAATGTGTCGAGAGCGGCGTGAAGTTGAAGGTACTGAGGCGCATCTAAGACTGGCATGAATATTCGAAGCGTTGCGTCGGAAGTGACAGTATAGAGGATGGGGTCGTCTCTTCTAAGCGATGAGTCCTTCCCATACTTGCTTGTGAGACGAGAGAACGACTTGCCTACTAGAGGATGGGGAGTTGCGCCAATTGAGATCGGTTACGAGACGGGGGTGTGGAATAGCTTGGGTCTGGCGTCCAGTAGTCGTCAAATATACGCGGACTACATTTTCGTGCTGTGATGTGCCACTCGGTATCATCCCTCTGGGCTGTATGCAGAGTTCAGACTCACCATGGAGGTAGTCGACATGTACATTAGAGACGGCGAGAATCGCACACGGGATAAAGTAGGAACACTGTTCAATCGGTGATGAATGTACATACATCGCGGTGCGAAAGAATGTAGGGCATACGTGCACGACCACTTTAACGACCATGTGGGCAGGTCATTCTCTAGGATTAAGGTGTACACAGATAGACTAGATCGTGTGCCGACAGCGAGCAGACCTAGAGGGGTTGAGACGTAGGCAGGATAAAACGAGGAATACAATTACCAGATATGCAATCAAGCGCAGTGACTTGCTGGTCATCAGGAAGCTTAAGTGAAGAATGAACGCGCCAGTAATCGTTCTGAGGTCCTGACAAGGACCAGGCGACAACACGGTGGTCCAGGGACGCGACCACCTGCCGAAGGTGGGTCAGAGGGAAGCCTCCATAGTACTGGATCTGGCATACCAATTTCATGGTGTTCTCGACGGACAGACATCGCACCGATTGGTTGATATGACGGGTGGATGGGAAGACCTCCCAGAAGGCAAGAGCTCGAACGAAAGCTAGAGTGTGTGCATTGAAAATGGCGATGGAGTCTGCAAACGGATATAGCTACAGCAAGTGATCAACATGGGTGAAGCGTGGAGGCAGGCGGTGAGAAGACATGCCAGGAGAGTCTCGCGAGGCAGGTGGAGGAAGTGAAGGTTGGCAGGAGGGCAGCCAGTGTATGATTGTATGAGGTCGAGCATTATGGCGGGGGCAGCAGTAGAGTATGGAGGGGCTTGCGAAAGATGGAGATGCGTCTAGAGGGACGACGGGGGCTATGGGAGCATTCTAGCAGAAAGAAAGAATGGGCGGCGACCAGAGGGCTGAGAGCAGTCGAAGACGATGCCGTACCCGTCCTCTGAGGCGTCGTGCGCGACCATGGGCGCCCGAAACGGCACGTGGGGGGCACGCAGGACGTCATCTCGACCCCGGTCGCCGCAGTCGCCGCACAGTTCCCCTGCAGAGCCCGTCCGTTTCCGCGTCCTCTGCACTTCCTCTTGCCCTCCCCGCTCCCTTCTATCCCGCTCTACTCTCTCAGTCGCAGTCCACGTTCTGCTCCGAGTTGAACCCAGGCGCGACCCCTGCGATGCGGCCATGGTCGTGCATCCCCGTCGGCCTCCTCGCCTTTCTTCCCCTCACCGCCGCCGCAGCCCAGCTCCCTCTCACACTCACTCCCGAACCCATACCGACGATCGAGTCCTTTACAATCCTTGACGCACTCAATAATGACTCCGACTATCGCTCCCTCATAAAGCTCCTCCAGGTTTCGAAGCTCATCCCCACCCTTAACAAGCTTAATGAGGCCACCCTCTTTGCGCCCACCAACGGCGCCATTAGTCGCCATGCAGCTTCCAATTCGCTATGGCAGCATGCTCTGCGCGAAGACACTGCTGAACTGCACGACAATCTTCACCTCCGTCTTCGGCAGCAGCTCTTCTACCATCTTCTCAACTATACCCTCCCGCATCTACCTACCGAGCAGACGCCACAGCAACACAATACCTCGCTCTACCCCCGAGATACCACCGAGCCGCCTACCCGGGAGCCGCCTCCGAATCCGCCATGGATGCCCATACCGAACGGCACACTCGGGACGGATCCCCAGCGGCTTCGCTTGTCGGCTAGAGATTCGACTCTATGGGCCGGCGTGGATTCATTCGGGAACGGTGGTGCAAAGATAGTCAAGGACAGCGTCAATACATCCAATGGCCTACTTCTGGGCTTGGACGAGGTCTTAGAAATGCCTCCAGATTTAGGTAAGTTCATGCGTCGCATGGCATTGCTGCAGGACGAAAGCACTTCAAACGCTAACCGATACGTCTTCCCAGCGACCGTCATCTCTCGGCACCCCGGCCTCACGTACTTCCACAAGATTCTCACCCCCGAGCTGACCAACTTCCTCAATCATACGCCCACGCTCACTTTGTTCCTTCCCGTCGACGATGCTTGGAACGCGTTGGACCCCTTGGAGAGGTTATACTTGGAAAGCGAGTTTGCCTCCGACGACTTGACGCGCATCCTCAACATGCATGCAGTACTACTCGAGGACAGGACGGTCAAATGGTCGGACTCGTTCGAGTCTCAGGTCGAATGTACGTTGAACGCCGTGCGTGCCCGTGGCGGAAGCTAACGGCTCACCCAGTGCCGACCATCGACGGTCCTGCGCTTAAGATCGTGCCCACCGACAGTAAGATCAAGGTATCGGACGCTGAGATTGTGGAACGCGACATATACGCGTCGAATGGCGTTCTGCACACCGTTAATTCCCTTCTGCTCCCTCCCGACGCGCTCCAGCTTACGCCGGAGAAATATCTCCTGGCGCTCAACTGTACGGAATTCGTCTCCCTGATCCATTCAGTGGACCTGGGTCATATGATCAACGATATGGAGGCCACGTACACAATTCTTGCCCCCCGAGACGACGTGATCAAGATATTCGGACGCGACGAGTTGCCTCACCGCGGCAGTGAAGAACTGAAGCGCTTCCTTCAATATCACTTCATTCCCGGCAAGTGGTCCCCAAAGAAGTTCGAGAATGGGATGCTCGTGGAGACAGCGCTGGAAGAGGCTGGTCTGGCTGGCGGACGCCAGGTGATGAACGTGGAGGTTGACGAGAAGAAGGGCAGTCAGGCAAAGGCCATCAGGTTTGCCGGGGCCGGCGTCATGGGTGAACAAGGTGCGCTTTTGCAGCGCTCGTCGCGCTTCTCGCCGCGGATCCTGATCGTCGTTGGACTTTACGTTCAGTCGAACCCAACAACACCAACACGGTTATTTACTTCATCTCGCACCCGGTCACACCTCCCGCTGATGTGCTGGAGACGGCGTTGCCGAACCTCGAGTTCTCTTCCTTCATTGCTGCCATCTTCTCCACCAACCTCGGCGAAGAGCTGAAGACGACGCCCAAGACGACGCTCTTGTTGCCGCCCAATGGCGCATTCAAGCGCCTCGGATTGCTCGTTAGCAATCACTTGCTATCGTCATCCGCCAAGGCAGACTTGGAGCGCGTCATCCGGCACCACACGCTACTGGGCGTTGACTATGCCAATGCGCTTGTGAACGGCTCTACACGAACATTCAGGACACTGGAAGGCTCAGACGTAGCCGTTGACAGAGTCGGTGCGAATCGCACTGTCATCTTCACTCCGAGTGGCGGCTGGGAGGACATGCAGTCTGGGTTAGTGCCGAAGAACATGCTCACGGAGACTGGCGTCATCCACCAGGTCACGGACATCATGATCCCCCGCTCTGTCCAGCTCACCGTCGGGAAGCTCGTCAGGGCCGCGAAGGGCACGACGATGTCCACCATGCTCGTCAAGGCCGGTTTCGAGTGGGTGCTGAACGGTACCGCCCCGCCTGAAGGCTCCAAATGGGACGAGATGGGTCTGGGTGGATCGGGTTGGACGCTCCTCTGTCCGACCGACGACGCATTCAACAGCATTAACCTGACGGCGCTGTACTCGGACGAAGAGCGGCTCAAGGACATCGTCGCCCAACACCTCATTCCTACCCCGACTAATCCCACGTCGTCGCCCGCAGCAGGCATCATCGACACGTTCGTGAACAACCGCCCGCTCCCTCTCGACGACTCCGCGTCGTACACGACGCTGCACAGCTCCTCGTCCGCGTACGGGGACATCATCATTCGCGTGCTCGACGGAGGCAAGGAGCCAGCCACAGTCGTCGGCATCAAGGGTGCGCGCGGCAAGGACGGCGAGCAGGAATGGGCGCGCGTCGTCGCATGGGGCCGCTCGACGACCGGGAGCGGTACCGGGGGCGTCGTCGCGATCGACCGTCTGCTACTGCCGTACGCGCCTAGCTGGTACGTCGAGTACGGCGCGCCTGTCGGGGTAGGTGTCGGGGGCGTGATCTTGATCGGGCTGTTCTTCTTCGGCGTGCGGTGGGTGTGGAGACGAGACACGACCGAGGCGACGTACGAGCCCATCGGGGGCTTCGGTCCGGACGATGGGGAGGAATAGATTATGGTCAGATTCAGGTTCAGCGGTCGGATTGGATTGGATATATACGTAATCGCTCACTCCCATCCTAGCTAAGTGTCGTGGTTTTGCTGCGTTATAGACTCGAGAGATATGGAAGTAGGGAAGCGGTCATTACTCTAGGGGCCCTAATGTGTATGATGTATGTATGTTCGTTGGCTGTGTATCTGCTATCATGGGTAACACTTAACTTGCCTTCGACTAGTCTAGCTGAAGTATTAGTCGAAGTGCTTGCGCAGTTCGAATATGTGGACGTATTGATCGCCTTCCTGACGAGAGATCATCACATATAAGTACTCGCGCGTATAACCTCGTGCGCACCCGGTGTGCTATATAACCGGAATACATAGTAAGGACGTATGACCTCCAGGAAAGCTCTCGGAAATACGAGCGACCTCATGTTGCCAGTCTCGCGGAAAAGGGCACATAATACATGTAGAATAAGCTTGCGGCAAACACCGACTCGGAGACCTAGGGATAAGGTGCGAATTTGGGCCGTAGCCCTCCCTATCCACCGTTTTGGGTCCTGTATCAATCGCTTGTTCCCCGCACTCCGCACCTCCTGGACGTTTGCGGGGCCGCGGGGCAAGCTCAACGGAATGGAAACGGATGCGGGGAGAGTGCGGTGATTGAGTCGAACGTCCCAGCCGCCATGTGCGCACAGTACAGACGCACATGAGGTTAATGCCCGACACGCTACGTAGATCCGATATGGAAAATCACGCGCCATCGCCGCCAAGGCCACTCTTCGTGCCGGAGACGCAGGCGGGCAGCTGCCCTCTTATACCCGATCTCAGCGTCGGTCGGTTTGTTTTTCGCCGAGCCCCCTTCCTGTGGACGTGTAGCTTGGTAGGGACAGTCATGGTGAGTCGGCCGGGGCGCAAACCGCGTGAGGGAGCGGGACGCTGACGCGCGTTGGGTGCGCGGCGGGATAGAGCGACGTACCTGCTGCAGAAGAAGTTCACCGTTCATCGACCGCAGATTCGGTCAAATCCTTCATTTCCGGGGGCGTAGGCGGTGTCGCCGCGGTGCTTGTGGGTGAGCAAAGATCGCATTCAGTACGAAGGGCGGATTGCTTACGCGCAAGTCTCGTGTCAGGACACCCATTTGACCTCACCAAGACGAGACTACAAACTGCGCCTCCTGGGACGTACACTGGCGCGATAGATGTCGTGAAGAAAGCCTTGGCTCGTGATGGTGTTAGAGGGTATGTGCGTTTGTTCTCGCCGTTACAAGCTATCACCAACACGTCCTTCAGTCTTTACCGCGGTGTCGTTCCACCATTACTCGGTGTGACACCCATCTTCGCTGTCTCCTTCTGGGTAAGTCACCCTTGGAGCGGCTGAGCATGTGAATTTGCCTAAGCGGATGAACCAAAGGCCTACGATACATCTAAGCTACTCATCCTTGGCTTAACGCCAAACCGGACGAACAAGGAGCTGTCAATACCCGAACTCGCGACCGCGGGTTTTTTGTCCGCGATACCCACAACTCTTGTGACTGCGCCTGTAGAGCGAGCAAAGGTTCTGTTGCAGGTAGGCAGAGCGGTGGCTTTTGTGATTTGACCAATACGCTCATGCACTGCTAGGTCCAAGGACAGGGGCAGGGCGGTCCTCAATATAATGGCGTGTTTGATGTTGTGAAACACCTATATCGTGAGGGTGGACTGCGCAGCGTGTTCCGCGGTTCTACTGCAACGGTTCTTCGAGATGGCCCTGGTAGTGCGGCGTGAGTGTTCTCTCACACTGACGTGTTCCTTGTCTTCTGAGCTATTGTCTAGGTACTTCGCGGCGTACGAAGTGACAAAGAAGCTCTTGACACCCGTCGGGCAGTCGCCTTCTGAACTCAATCTCGGCGCGATCATCGTCGCCGGTGGTGCGGCAGGTGTCGCAATGTGGTCAATTGCCATTCCTCCCGATGTGAGTCGGTTGCGCCAAGGTGTGCGAAGCGGAGGCTGATACACAGCTACGTAGGTCCTCAAGTCGCGTATACAGTCTGCACCGACAGGGACGTACTCCGGCTTCTTGGACTGCGCGCGGAAGACCATTGCTGCGGACGGTGTAGCGGCGCTGTGGAAGGGTCTCGGTCCTGCCATGGCTCGGGTAAGTTTAATTTGCTAGAGCGTGATGGAAGACTGTCATAGTCCTGATCCTCTGTTTGCGCAGGCATTCCCTGCTAACGCAGCTACTTTCGTGAGTGCGAGTGAGTCTCTATCGTCGGCTGTCGGACTGATGATTGTGTATAGCTCGGAGTGGAGGCCTCGAAGAAGCTGTTGGACAAATTCTTTTAACGGCGGTCGATGTGCAGTACTACGCTGGGATAATACAGCTACTTATCTGGATAACTTATGTCCTGTTCAACACGCGTTTTGCCGTCCTCCCTGGGCTTCTAGCCCGCCGTTTGCCGAAGAGATGCGTCTGCGAAAGTTCAACGCGATCACATGACAGAAGGCCTTGTAGCGCGCAGATATATAACTTCTGGAGCCGTTCCTGGTCTCACACGTTTCCTTTCTCCTGCTCTACAATCTTTCTCCCTGCCACCCCCATACCCTACATGTAAGTTTACATCTTTACGACTCTAACGACCGGGATGAACAACACTCACGATCCTTCAAATTCGGTGAGTGCCACTGCACCTTTCCCTATGCTCACGTCCTGTGAAGTTCACGCCATCTCGACCCTTGCCTTCAGAACCCTTTCAACTCAACAGCAATATGTCTCAAGCATCGTCCTGCGTTCAAAATCGCAAATCCAGGTGCCTCACGGCGTCACAGTGAGGTCTTTGTCTCCCCGTCTCTGCAACGCCACTGACCTCGCATCAGAATCGCCAAGGACAGTGGCAGATTTGAACAATGGTCCCAGTACAATCATCTTGTCGTGGGGAGTTACCATACAGATATCCCTGTGCACCTTAAGCAGGATGTGGAGGACGTCTTTAACAACTTTAGACGGCTACCGGAATCTTGGATCAACAAAGTACGCTCGACTCTTCGAGCTGTTGCTGGCGTCGCGTTGACGGTAGTGAATCTGTGCTGGGTAGGATTCGACTACATACGCTAGGCTTCAAAAGGACCTGGGTCAGGAGTTTTTGGCTTTCCTCCAGTCTGCACAGGTCTCGTCGCCGTCGATATTCTCTCCCAAGGCGAAGCGGAAGGAATCCCAGCAGCTTCTTCGGGAGTTGCAGAATGTCTTCCTGGCATTTCAAAAGCTGGAGAAGTTGCGCGATTCCGAAAAGACTTGGACGGAGGCCGACTATGCGGCTCAAGTGTGAGTGCCGAAACTCTTCCTAGTGAGCACAACTGATGTCTACGAACAGGTACAATGTTCTGCGCGCAACGGTCGGATTGCTCAGCGACAACAGGTACGGCTACATCGTGTCTCGCTTCCCGGCAGAGAATGTTGACCAGGGTCCATCAGGGCCCATTGTCCCATATCGCTCCCTCAGCCTTTGAACGAACATGTTGTGACCAAGAAAGCCGCGCTCAACCTGAATGCCCGGACCATTCGGCCCGACGGCTCATTGTTTGTTCCTCGCCACGAGATTGCTGAGCTATCCGAGGAAGAAAAGTCACCTTTCAACGTGCTGGCTCAGCGTCGTAATACGAACAACTCCGCGAGTCACGGCGGCGCCTCGTCGTTCAAGTGGCAAAGCACGCTATGCTCCAAGCTCCCAGCGCAGCCCGGTTTCGAGGTCGCTAGTTGCTTCTGGGAAGATAAGAAACCAGAACAAAAGGAGCTGGAGGTCGCGTACCGACAGAATCGTATGGCGACAACGGCCGCTCTGAGGCAACTTCACGCCCTGAGGATCGAGGCTCCCGTCTTCGGTCTGGTGTGGGCCGAGGGCACCGTGCGGGCCCACGTCGACTGGTACAAGGAAGAAGACGGGAGATTTGTGAGTCCTCGGGTGCCTCTCGCCGTCTGCACGACGTTCTGATTCCGAGCCGGCAGACCATTGTGTCCGCACCGTACCCCGGGCCGCCACCCGAGCAACCAGTGCGAAGGAAACAGCTCTTCCATAGCTGGAACCTTGCGGACCCCGGGCACATCATTCAGGTGTACCTGCTCCTCCGGAAGCTCGATCGTTGGACCGTGACTGGATTCCGGGACCGGGTCGTAACGGGCATCCGGAGCCTCGTCGACGAAGTCGAGAAGCACGACGGCAAAGTCGTTCAATGGCGCCGACGTAGCAGCCTCGGCAAAGATATGGGCAGAACGGACGAGCACGAGTACGAGCCAGAGTCCATCTCGAGTCCAGCCAAGCCTCGCGCGCGGGGCAAGGCAGCCAAGCAAGCCAAGCGGCGGACAACTCGGGGCGCTGTCTGAGCCTTCTGGGGATGCGCGCTGGTGGTGTGCCTACGAGACGACTATGCTTATGGTATTCCTGTATTCCTGTAATGCACATGTATGACAATGTAATGACGACGCCATGATTGTGTATCCCGCTAACAGAACAAGGCTAAGCTCGGCAACAGCAATGCAAGCGGATATAAATACGCGAATGAATGAGTACGGAAATCCGCGGTCTATGTGGTAACGACGTAGAAATACACGAGCGCAAGGAGCGTAGTATGTATGGACGCAAGTATAGCACAACAGTTCACAGGTCTAGGGGCGGATCAGCGGAGCGAGATTAGGACAGGGCGGGTCGTATAGAATGTTTCTTCTATTCGTCTTCATCTAGTAAATACGATCTCCGGGAACGTCTAGTTCAAAGTCCGGAATAGACAACTATTCACTTCAGCTGCTTTTTCGCCGGCTTCGGCTTCCAGCTCGACGGTATTTTCATCACCACGTCGGACCACGTCGCGAGCCTGCCGACCTCCCAATCTTCGAGGTATGACAGGCCCGCGCTCGCCCGGCGGCCCTCCTCCGTCTTGAGCCGCGCCTCGGCATCGCACCAGAACAGCACCCAGTCGCCCTGGCGGATGTGGCCCGTGCTGCGCTCGAAGTACCACTTGTTGACCGGGTTGTCCGCACGCGAGCGCCAGACCAGGTCGCGGCCCTCTCCCTTGCCCTCCTTGCCGCCGTTCGGGTTCGCGGAGAACGGCAGGCCGAGGCCGTACGTCTCGTCGTGCAGCGCGACCCAGAGGAAGTCGACGGTGCCGTCGCCCTGGTGCTCGGGCAGTACCGCGAACTTGTCGAGGTACGTGATCGGGGCGACCGTGTCGGGGGTCCCGGGTGGGCACGGCTCGCGTGTGACGATGGCGGCGCCGGCGTAGTCGCCGGCGACGATGACGAAGTCGAGGTCGCGCTCCATGCGCGCCCAGAAGGCGTCCTCTTCGAGCTCGCGGCGGAAGGAGTGCTCGAGGAGCTTTTTAAGCTTGGTCTTGTCGAGATCATCGACGCGGCGGACGACACGGACGGGGAGACCGTGGCGCAAGATAGTCGGAGTGTCTGGAGTAAGCTTGCGGTTGCCTTGTAGAAGGGCGTGAGGGAGACTGGAACTCAGGGCGGGTTTGTTGGTAATCAGGTTACCGATCAGGGAGCTCGGAGAACGGTGCGAGACCATGACGGCGGAGGAGGTCGGGGGCATGTAAGCGAGACAGGTTCGAGCGAGCCTGAGATTGGACAGAGCAGTAGAATGTGTAAGCTTCCATCGCGGGTCGAAGGTATTCCGAATGTAGTCGTATTCCGAAGTCAGGTTGATCAGTAGGTGGGGCATGCCCTGACGCGCATACGAAGGAACCCCTCCTTCTCGAGAGATGATCATGAGGCGCAGAGGGACAAGGTCCATCTCTTCCGGAGACGAAGACGGACTATCCTCCCGAACCGCAGCATTCTTGTCCAGCGCAGCGGCTTCGACCATTCCTCGGACAAGTGCGGCAATCACGTCGTTCGCGTCCACTCGGACGCTCCGGCAGAGCGAGTCCAATGCCAGCGGTGGGAGGACAGGAATCTCGCCCGCGCGGAGCGCCGACCGAATGTGAACAAGGTCGGAAGGGAAGGTGTGCGCCTCCGGTGGGTCGAATTCTCGCGATCCGGACGTATGCTCCTCTCCAGGCTTTGGGCCCAAGCGCACAACCGTCCCGAGCACCGGACGAGCTCGCGCTCCCTGCTTTTCGAGTGCATTCACGACGCGCATCGTTTCTTCTACAAGCGCGGTGCGCTCGCGCGAGTCGCCGCGCGGGAGCTGGTCGTTCTCGAGGACGATGACGGAGACGAGGCCGAGCTTCTCGAGGTACACCATGCCACGCGCGATGCTTTCGAGCTGCCTGTCCGTGAAGGGCGCCTGGATTTTGACGAGGGCGGTTCGCCGATACACTGGATTCAGTATAGACGCGACCACAGGACTAGGAGAGTTTTTGATGTCCGGCGGCTTTGTATCCGCCTGCTGTGTTACGTCTTCATCCGTCTGGACCGGGATCACCGCCGTACGAGGCGCCGCGGGCTGCGCAGGCATAGGACGAGGACCAAAGGAAGCCAGGTAGGACCTGGTATCCCTCAGAGAAGGGTTCGCGCGGAGGAGAGAAAGGATGAAGTCCTGGACTCGCGGGGGTCGGAAAACCGTGATAGTAGATGACTATGACTGCACACCTTTTCTGAAGGTTCCACGTCATCTGGTTCCGGCGGCTCATAAGGCGTTCGGAGACTTCGTATTGTCTGCAGAGTCAGAAAAGCAACCGGTCAGCTATACCAAGGGGGGACGAAACATGACGAACGGCATAGAAGGCCTTGAATGTCTGGGCGGAGCGCGAGTGGGCAGAGGCTGGATTGACAGTGTTTCGGCAGCCTATACGAGCTGCAGCCGCAGAATGAGAAAGCATGGTAGTATAGTTGAGGCCCGTAGGATGGGCGGAAAGATGAGGTCGGAGGCAATCTTTATAGCGCGTCCGAGTCAGGGCATTGAAGCAAACGGGCAGGCGTCTATCTAATCGGGTAGCATGATTGCGTGCCGCGTCAATCTGGCCATTGGGTGTCCCCCGTCGGACTGAGGACACAAACTCGCGTGAATTTGGCCAGCTTCGAATAGCAAAAACGTCTTCGCAAGGCCTCCGACATTCCTCCACCGGCACAACCCCCGCATTCCCACATGCCAGGGGCATCCGCAGGCAGTGTCAATCTTCGCAATTGCTCGCCAAACCGCCAAATCAACGCGTTGCCCGCGGCCGTCGAAACTCTATGTGATGGAAGAGTGCTCCCGAGGCCTATGTACGTACGTAGCTATGATTAACAAGACTTCACGATGATCATTACGCTTCCAGCCTATCGACGGTCTCGAGCCACAGCAAGGTAGAAAGCGGCCAACAGCAGCCCGAGCAATGAAGCGTGCACCGGATTTAGACGCCACGCAGCACTGCAGCAGTGAGCTCACGCTTGTCCCATCGCCGTGATGAAGCACGTATAATCAGCCCGAATGCTCATCGTCACTGGCGACTGGCCTGATCATGCAACCTGCCGACCCGTGAAACTGGACGACGTGTGAATGATCTGCGAGCCCCGTATGGTGGTTTCAAGATAAACAGGGCGAAATTAGCGCTCATCGCTCGTGACGAAATGGCTGCTGGCTCTTCGAGCCGTGTAGCCCGACGTTTCGACGCTGCTCAACACTGATTCACTCTCCAAATTCATGTGGATTTCGGATATGCGGAGCGATGCTGCTTCCTGAAGCCTGCCTCCATTCAGTACTACGCTTCACTATGGCTTCATCTGCTCTGCGGCGAAAACTTGGAGGATGGATGTCCAGGTGTCGAAGAGGGCAACTTCTGCGGGCCAGGCATACAATGGCGTGCATCGGCCTTCACCGTAGACTCCAGGCAACGGTGTATGGGGCGGACGAAATCAAGTAACCACCCGTAAGTAGTATCTGCTTGTGACAGTCGCAAGTCGTTGCTACGCTTGAGACTGCGGGACTATATCCACCAAACATGACTCACGACTAGTTCTCACGGACAAGTCCAAGTAGCTGTCAGTCGCCTGAGAACTGCACAGTGCAAGCATTCATAGGCGGTGCGGTGAAGACTGTAACAGACGTAGTCCGCAATTCGCAGAAGAACGGGACGGAGACTAGGTAGGTGTCAGTCTATGATACCTCGCAAGCTCTTTATGTGGAATCCCTGGTAGTATATCGGTTAGTACACGCGCCTGTCATGTTTCTGGCCGCGCGAAAGCGGGGTTCGACTCCCCGCCAGGGAGCTATAATGTTTTCTTGGTTCTATTTTATCTCAAGACGTGATGTCACAAGATCCTGAAGCAGCAAGTTGCAGGTGTCAGCGCAAGATGACTTGTTCCATATGGTGCCGGACAATGGGATCTAAAAACAGATGTTCCAAGACATTTGTCGTCGACACTTGGTTCGAGTGCCAAGCTCAAATTCAGACGCAAGCGAAGAGTATGACACGCGCTCTGTGGGTGTGTATAGGATGACCTCATGGAGGGTGGAGCATTTAGGCGGTCGGTCAAAATACAGGACCCGAGGCATTCTTTGCGCGTCACCGTTGGGGAGGTTGATTTCGGAAGTTACCTTGGCTCGTTATCCGGGTCACAGGTAAGTTCGGTGAGGTTGCCGTCCAACTTCGTCGCGGCTCGCCGCCGTCAGTGATCTGGAAAATGAGGGCCACTGCTGGGATTGACAGCCTCCTGACAGATAATCAGTCGATCTGCCGGTAGGGCGAGTTCAGCGCGCCGAGCATATATGTGACGCTGTCCGGGGAGTCGGTTCGCGTATCGTGCGCGACACGAGCGCGGCGAGCGCGCACGGTAGAAGATAATGTGGACATCAACGCGCATGGACAGGGGGGGCGTGTCTGCATGTAGACAAATGCTCGCCAAGAGCTCGGGACGAGGGGTGCGACAAGGAGGAGCTATCGAGGCAGTGAGCCGCTTCGCAGAGAAAAAGGGAGGACCCCGTGGCACCGCGTGTGGATTGGAGATGCCGACCACGGACCAGTACCGGTGGGAGGAGGGCGATGGAGCCGTTGCGTGTCGCGACGACCCCATACCAAGAAGCTACCCTCTTTTTTGTCCCCCGCCCTCCACTAGCAGCTCATGTCCACGGCAGGCCGGCTTGCCGCAGGCATCCCATAAATCCTCATAGCGCTCCAGCTGGTGGCTATAACCTATCCCTCCGATCCGTCAATACCGTCCTCGAGTGACTCCTTGTCTGTGTTCGCGTTCACGTTGACGTCCTCATTCCGCATCTTCCGACCATATATCGACCCAGTCTGCTCCGCGCACTTACCCGTTAACCCCTTCCCTCGAGTCCCAAGAGGAATTCACATCTATCAACGTCATGCTCGCAACCTCATCAGTCCCTACCTCTACCACCGGCGTGCAGCAGCAGCACACAGGCGACGCGGACCCGTTCATCCTGTACGCCCGCTCGCTTCATGATTATACCCTCCGCCTCTGGACGGAGTCGAGGAGGATCGCTGAGGAGAAGACACGTCTCAAGGCCGCTGCCACTGCCTCTGGATCCCCACCCCCGCCTGCGGCGCCACATGGACAGGAGAGGACCGACAACGGGACCGTCAAGGTCTAAAACATTGTCCTCATCGGGGCGGGCGGGGGTGCCGAGCGAATTGGTGGTTAGCGGATGGACTGTCCCGGAAAGCCTGCAGGTGAGTACTGATGCCATAGCGTCGATCTACGTCATACCCATGCGACATTTTCAGCTCACCGCTCACGCTGATGGACGTTGTCATCCTGATGCGTTTTATAACCACCCTCGTGCTCGACGGCTTTGTTCGCTGCTCCAGTCATATCACTACTACTCACCATGACATCTGTTCATCCGCTGCTTTCTATTGCTCTTGGTACTGTGATTCGTTGCGGTTATATACTATATTCCCTTTCTGAGCACCCTGTAGAACATCACCCACCTACTGCTACTAACATCTGAGTACCTTCTTATCCAGTCTCCGGAATCGTCGGGTTATATTCCCTTTCGAGTGTAATCCTATACCGCAACTCACATCTATCTCGAACGCTAAGTATGTACTTGGAGAAGCAGCAGGAAGACAGGAGGTTCCAATCGCCTTCATCGCTATTCGTGCATTTATATGCAGTTCCTAAAAGGCCTCCTCGGGTCTAGACCCAGCTGGTGTGACAAGAGGTACCTGTTACGGCTGTAGGATGGGCCGGATGTCACGGTCGCTCTGGTGTTGGTTGTCGCGGAAGGTGGCGCCGTCTGCGGTCCGTCTGAAGCCATGCGCGCGCGTCGTTCTCGTCATCGAAGGCGGCAATATGTCTGCCATGGCTGCCAACTCTATCGCACGAGGCTGCACACGAGCCCCCGCTATCTTGATTGTTGCTTCCAATACTTCCATTCGATGGCCTGGCTCGAACGTGGTGTGTGTCTGCGATTTGTCCTGCGACTTGAGCGAGTTCAATCCATGCTGTTGTCCGCCTTGGAGGCGTTTTGACAAGCTCGGTTGATGTGGCACGTTCTCCCGCCCATGCTCGCCGACCAGCGCGAATCATGTTTCGAGCCATCTCGATGAAGTCGAGTGCGTAGCCAATGCCAGGCGATTCCCGTACCTGGACGTCGCGGTTTCCTCCCACGCGACGCACGTTCGCCTGCTCAGCTGCCCTCCATCAACGGTCTCGACGTCAGCTTCTGCACTTGGTCCAATTATTGCAGCGCTCTGTCCGGAATTTAAGGCGTCGGCGATGCCTCGGACGCCCTTCGCACTCTTCGTAGCTGCCATGATGTTGTCGCGTAGGATTTGGGGCGTCGCGGCCGCATCGGCCGTCGTGTTCTCCATACCCGCCGTCGCTGAACCAGTGCCGGTGGAGAGCCTGGGTCCTTCCTCGTTCGCGGCTCCCGGACTTTTCCCCGCGTCACTCTACAAGCATTACTACAACAACCCCACGGCGACGTCGGCGCAGCCACAGCCTGTGATCTCTGACCCGGTTCTGGCGAGTGTCTCTTCTTCGCGTGCGAAGTCCGCACTACTGACATGTGCTGTCGTTGGCGAACAGCACACGACTTACCCGTTCGACCTCACGAATCCTGCTACGATCCCGAAAGTAAGTTTGGATCATTTCGACTCGGATGGGCGTACAAGTCACACTCAAACAATCACATGGCACCCAGAACAACACCAAGGATCCGCATCCTTTGCCGCCCAAGGCGTCCTCCGGCCAGATCCTCGAGGCTGCGTTCCAACAGGTCCTGTCCATCGCGAACAACTCCAACTTCGAGACCAACTGTGCAAAGTGTCAAGCGGGCCTTCAGGCTGCCAAGTTCCTCGCGTTGGCAGCGCCGGAGCTCGGGCCAGAGCTTGCGGTGCGCCTGTGCGAGCACTTCGACTTCAACAGCGACTGTCCCACCCAATTCGGTGCCCAAACCCTCGGCGCGACAATCACTCAAGTGGTTGCCGAGGCCGATGTTGGGGGCCTAGATGGACAGGTAACTTCCTCTGGGAGGGTTTCCTCATGGGAAGCTGTGCCTTTGATGACCGGACGTCTCGTTTTTACAACAAACTCTAGGCGATTTGCAGCCATTTCATCTCAGGTCTCTGTCCGCTCCCGCCCACGACACCCCTGGACCTCACCAACTGGTTCACGAAGCCAAAGCCAAGCCCTCTTCCTGCAGCGAAGAAGCCCTCCGGAAAGCGCCTCAAGGTTCTGCATCTGTCCGACTTCCACATCGATCCCCGTACGCGGTCGTCTTCCCCGATCAGGAAGCGAGAGAACTGATGTGTCTGGTAGGGTACACGACCGGCGCGGAGGCGAACTGCACGACGGGCCTGTGCTGTCGCGAGAACAACCTCCACTCGCCTACCCCTGGCCAGATCTCCTTCCCCGCGCCGCGCTACGGAGCGTACCTCTGGTAGGCCGCAGTAGCGTTGGCGCATGTCGTGCACTCACTCTTCTACTCTTGCGCAGCGATTCGCCGTTCTCTTTGGCGGCGGCGGTGCTCCAGTCTATTCCGGTGCTAGCAGGCACCGAGAAGACAGGATTTGACTTCACGGTATATACCGGCGATCTTGTGTCCCACGACTCCGAGAACCAGCTTTCAAGGTACGTGGCCGCGATGCTCGCGCTGAGAAATTGCTCAATGGGCGTATCGTACAGGGACTACATCCTTTACACCGAGGTATGACAGATGTGACGGTTCGGGCCAAGAGTTGTGTGCTCACTTGTCGCAGACCGTCATCTACGACCTGTTCAAGCGGACGCTCGGCGCGGGGCCGGTCTATGCAGCGCTTGGTAACCACGATACATACAACCAGTAAGCCTTGCCAATGTGTCAATGGAGCTCTCCCTAAGATCCGCTTCAAAAGGGCTCAGGATGCTCCTGAAGCTCTCGGTGGCGAGCTCGGTCAACAGTTCAGCTGGTAAGGGACGCTAGCAAGATTCGGGAAGTGGGTAATCAATTTGTGCCCATGGTGTAGGAACTACGACCATGTCTCTTCCCTCTGGGAGTACGAGGGGTGGATCCCGAAGTCTGCTGGAGACCTTTCCCGTGCGCACTACGCCGGGTACATGGTTCGCCGCACAGACGGTCTTCGTGTAATCACCTTGAACACCGACTTTTGTGCGTTCATTACATCATAACACGCACGCTTCGAAGCTGATGATTTGTTGAAACAGGGTACACGTACGTATCATGATCATGAATGGGCAGCAGGCTGCTGTTGACGCCTTGGGTAGCGCCAACATGTTTGCGTACATTAACATGACGAACCCCGACGTCTCCGGCATGCTGCGCTTCCTTACGGACGAGCTGCAGGCTGCTGAGGATGCAGGCGACTCCGGTGAGGCTCCATTATGCATCAAGCTCGATGTGTTTCAGGCTGACATATGTCGCGCAGTATGGATCTTGGGCCATGTGTTGACCGGCTGGGACGGGAGCAACCCCCTCCAAAACCCTACCGACCTCTGTAAGTCGAACATGTCGTCACTGCCACGTTCTATCTCCTTAACGACGACCTTGTCTTAAGTTTACCAGATGCAAGTGGCGTTTCGTCATGCTCCGCAATGCTTACGTACTAAATCGCCGGTCTTTCAGCGTCGACCGGTTCTCACCGCATGTCATCAAGGGTGACTCTCATCCGTCAGGAGTATCTTTGTTCCTCGAACGCTGACGGTCCTTCTAGCCATGTTCTGGGGTCATACCCACGAGGATCAAGTCATGGTCAGCCTGAGCGACCGGGCATGATACAGATTCGCAGTTTTCTCACCCTGGTCCAGATATATTACGCGAACAACGCCACCGTCATCAGTGCAGAGACTGCAGGTGCAGTTGGATGGGTGAGACAACACCAGAAATTGACTTCGTTGCGAGGAAACATACTGAGAGCCTGGAAGATCGGGCCGTCCGTCACTCCCTTGACTAATCTCAACTCCGGGTTCCGCGTGTATGAGGTCGACTCTGCCGTACGTCCACCTTCTTGTCATCTTGCCTACGGTGATCTGATAAGATGTCTATTTGATATTCTTCTCCGACGAACGTAGACCTTTGAGATACTCGACGCGCACACGTGAGCATCGTTTTAGTCGAATAAAGTTTGGGGTACGAAGCTGTGGGCAAGACGCTGACGCTGAACCGATCTGCTTACTGTAGATGGAGGAGTGACGTCAACTCGTTCCCCAACCTTGACGGACAGACCCGCTTTGGGCCCACGTATGAGTACGAGTACAACACCCGCCAGACCTATGGCGCCAACGTCACTGGCTGGGGCCCTAACGACCCGCTCAACGCCACCTGGTGGCATCATGTCACTGAAGGTACGTGGCCGCTCCCCCATTTCATGATTTGCTAAAGCACGCCCATGCTGAGCGCGCCTCATCCTGTAGCTATGGAAGTGGACAACACCCTAGTCACTGTGCGTACAGTCCCAAACAACACGCTTTCCGCTGTATAGCGTGAGATGTCCTGTTCGGGATTGGATTGACCGTTCGTGCGTACAGGTCTTCAACACTTTACAAGGCAAAGGTTCAGTTCTCACCGCACCATGCACTGGAGAGTGCATCCCCGCGAAGATCTGCTACATTCGCAGCGGCAGTGCTTCGCTTGCGAAACAGAATTGTCCTCTCGGCTTTGGCTCCGTTCAGTAGGTACGGGGGGCTCACGAGGGGCTGCGGCGTACCAGGGTCTGCCGCGGCCGGGTATCCTATGATAACTTGTACTCGCTCATCGTTTCCTGGGTCAATGATGACTGTCATTTTTGTGAGCAAGGGTTATTGAACCCGTTATGAAGAGCACAGCATCGAAGGATAGTTCTGCGGAATCTGGTATGACGAAAGTGGGGTGAGCGGAGATCCGTGGGGCTCGGTGGGCGTCTTAGATTGTGAGAGGATCTATCCGATAGCTGACGTAGAAAGTCATTTTATATTCCGTATCGATGACTTGCGAACGAGAACATCTCGCCTCTTTTCTTCAGCAGAGGACGTCACGCACAGATAAGGCTTCGATAATGCTATTTGCAAATGTTTTACATGTTTTGTTTTACAACAATCCACCGTACATACACTTTAGATCATCCGTGACCCTCACCATACGACCCAACGTTCAAGACTGCGCAGGGTTGTTCTCCGCGAAGTACTCGTGATTATCAGCGTTATCGATCGCCTCAGTAGGGTTGCTCTTGGCGAGAGACTTCGCGGCGGACTGGCCGTAGACATGGTCGTCGGTACCGCCGTTGACGGTGAAGTGAGACGCCTGCAACATCAATACGGTCAGATGGCGGATGCATGGCATGTGAACTCAACAGAAACGTACCTCGTGGACGAGAGTCCCAGCGCGAGAGTCGGTGCCAGTGTTGGGTGCATCCCAGAACGCACCGCACAGATAGATCGTGCCGAAGTCGTCGGGGTAGACGTAGGCGTACGTGCCCGAGTCATCGCAGGTGCAGTCGTATGTGAAGCTAGTGTAATCGTGGGAGTTGATGTTGGAGTAGTGGCTCTCCACGGTGCTGTGGCGCGAGCTCGTGTACGAGCCGAACCAGGTCGTGTAGCGCGCCGTAGAGGCGGTGTGCGTCTGGAGGTACGAGAGAGCCGCGGCGACGTAGCTCTGGGCGGCAGGCGCGGCGGAGTTGATGCCGGACTTCTCAGAGGATGAGCAGCCGTTGTATTGTTCGCGTTTCGTGAGCGTGGGGGTCGGGCGGACGACCGCGAGCTTGCCGCTGACGGCAGCAACGTGTGCCTCAGCGTCCGCGCGGATCTCGGCGATCTCGCTGTTGGCGTCCACATAGTGGAAGAGGTTGGACGCCTCCACGGTGTACTTGCCAGCACCCGGGAGCGTGAAGTTGTACGCCGACGAGACTGCAAAGAAGGACTAAGCCCATGCGCTATAATCATATGGGATGGGAGAGACGCATACGATCATGGGTCAGCGAGACAGACTCGCCCGGGGCGAGAACGGTGAAAGCCGAGGGACTAGTGGATTTCGCCGCACGGCTCGGGGAGTACTTGACCTTGACCCCGGTGAAGCTAGGGCTGGCGCCGTCATCGGTGGTGATGGCGAAGGTGTTCGCGGGGAGGGAGTGCAGAACACTACGGGGATCGTTGAGGAGCTTGAGGGTCTCATCGCCGGTGTTGGTGAGGGTAGTGACAACCTTCAAGTTCTCTACACCATCAACAGCCTCGGGCCCGGATACTTTGAGGGAGAGACCGGGCGCTGCAGAGACAGCAGCCGCGGATGCCGCGAGGACGAGCAGAGCTGCGCGAAGAGAGCTGGAAAACATGACGGCAAGTGAGGACGAAGTACTGCGCAAGTGGAACACCGTAGACCAAGTGACCGGGGAGAAGTCGACTTTGTCGAAGCCTCTTTATACAAAAGCGGTATCGTGAGGAGACCGCACTGGACCAGAAGCCCTGCGAAGCCATGTCGCCGGCAGAGGATAACAAACCAGCAGGACATGCCAAGAGCAAGCATCGCGTGATTGGATCGAGAGGAACCGCCATTCGGTGCCAAGCCAAGCCATGATGAATGAGCAGCTGAAAGCGAGCACAAGGTTCACCTACGTTGTATGGTAGCATGTACCGGAGATCTCTCGGTGAGGGACAGCCGCCGATGATTTTTGCGGAATCTCGCACAGAATCAGACGCGGGTTCTAAAGGCATGTCGATGAACATGAAGGAAGTATGAGAGACAGAACGAATGATTACCGATGGACAGAGGGGAGCCTGCCTGTGGTGTGTGTGAGCCGTGAAATCTGAGAACGTTGTTAGAGGAGCTATGCATGAATTGACGGACGATACATACCAGGGGTGGTTAGCGTAGGAAGCAACGCTGGGTATTCTTCGGCTCCGTAATGCAGCATGGTCCTTGCGGAGATAAGCATAGCTCGAGATGTTCCTTCATGGTCAGCGAGGGAATGGATGGACATCTGAACACAACTAACAGAAGACATAAGCGTTGCCATGACCGAATGTGGACACGCGACCGCGTGGCCGAGAGTCGGTTATAGGCGTCTATCATGGAGACCGGCACTTTGTGTCAAGAGCGTGCTGCTCGGGCAGCTCCTTCCACCTCGTCCATGCGGTCGCCCTCTCGTTTCCACCTGACCGTAAACCGCATGTACCTGCGCCGGTGGCGCCAAGCCCGGAAATGCCGCCGGGTTGTTGGCAGTCAGAGATCCTGAACATCGTGGGCCTCGTGAAATCCACTCATGTTTATAACCACAAATACCAAGTAGTCCACCTGAGCGTCCGATTGCAAGACTGACGAAGCAGGGACAAGCGGAGTATTATTCAATTCCGGGTATATAGATGTCACTTCCTTCTATTCAGCTGAGCATCATTGCAGGCAGTAAGCTCCGGCTGGTTAGGTTACCCACCACCGTCATCCAACTCTGAGGTTGGCCGATAGGGAAGCTCAAAGCTGCAGCACATCATCGATTGGATACAAAGGCATCCTGTGTTAGAAGCGGGCCATCACTACAGCTGTACAGGGAATATCGATCCTTACGAGCAAATTTGATGCGTACCGAACTCATCCTTCTCAGTGGATTCGACGTGGCTATAAACATACCATTCATAGAGATGCTGTCATAATTTGTGGCCAAGGTAAAGGGGACAACATTTCTTCTATCCCATCGCACCGTACAATGTATGCCTCCAAAGCGTGGTCGGCCAATGCCACTCGGACCAAAGCACCATTGACCATATTCTACAAATACAGGCTCGTCGGAAGATGCATTACCTTATATCCCCACCTCCCGAATGGCCACTCACGAAGCATTCAGCAGCGACGGACTTCGGGTCTCCTTTGGGCCTATCACTCAGTACTTTCTCCAACCCGCCTCCCCGCATTACCCTTGGACAGAAGTGACCGTGATCGACGAGGGCAACAAACCCGTGATATCCTTCGATGGTACACCGATTGCCTCCAAGCATGAAGGCTCTCACACCGTATACCGCGGATATATGGAGCAGTTCGAAGGCGAGGGTGGTACGCGCATCCACCCCCTCCGTCAAGTCGCGCTGAAGTGGGTCGTTGGGGCGTCGAACTTAGGGGGCATGAAGAGGGAAGCCCGCTTATATGAGAAAGAACTCGCGCCCCTCCAAGGCACTGTGGTTCCTAGGTTCTTCGGATTCTTCAGAGGGTTCATAGGCGACGTCGAGGTCGGCTGCATTGTCCTAGAGTGGTGCGGCGGTGAACCGATCAAAGAGATGCAAGAACTCAAGTGAGTCTTTCGTCCTCCCGAGGCAATTCTTGGGCTGACGCTACGTTTCAACTGCAGTCGACAGAGGATGCTCGCAGGCATCGCCCTGCACAAGGCTGGCGTTCATCATGGCGAGTTGCTTGATAAGTCCCACTGGGTTCCTGTTGGGGATGGCACACTTCGGATCGTGGGGTTCTCGTCCGCCCAGACTCATGGCTGCGCTGGGATGACTGTGCTTTCTCGAAACAACAGTGGAGACCCACGCCCGAAAGCTATTTGTAAAGAGCTCGCGGTGCTAGAGTCCCGATTTGGAGTCGATGCTGAGCGCACTGGTAACCATGTCAGATGGGCAAACAACTTGTATCCTGAATTCGACGCGGCGTTCTACGATACGTACTCATTTCCATCCTGATCTCTCTCTTCCGCTATATCATTGCGCCTGTGACTGCTTATCGTATCATGTATTCGAAGATATCCTGTTAATTGACTCATAGTTCTAATCTAATGTCTACGTTGATAAGACCGTATGCGTTCTACGGCTAGGGCTACAGCATGAATGACAAACATCTGTCTAGTGAAAACATCAGATCTCATCCTTAAAAACATTCCAAGCATTCCGGTGTCCGCACCCATCCACATGAGCATCGTCGCGCCCCGGACCAGCGAGACATAAGAGCGGGCACGTATGTGTCTTACTCGAACTCCTGCCAGCCTCTTCATCCCCAGCAATGTCGAGCCCGAACGCGCTGTCCTTGCGGACGTCTACCAACCCCGCAAGGCCTTGCTCTCCATGCTCCCCTTCTTCCTCCCACTCAGGCGTGCCTTGGTCAGCGAACCGGACAACGCGCGCGATGCCGTTCCGGTAGCTCGTCTGGAGACGCAAGCGGATCGATGAGAGCCGCGCGATGCCTGCTTCCCAGCCGCGCTCGAACTCCACCTTGACCGCCTCGTACGTCTCCGGCGTCAGGTCACCGGGGAAACTGGTCGCCAGAGAGCACACAGTCGGCGCGGACGGGAGGACACGGACCCTCTGGTTACGCGGTGGGATACGGTCCACTGGGATGGTCACATCCTCCGGTCCTTTGCGCTCGGGAGAGGGTGCGCGCAAGGAGAACGCTGCTGTGGCCAGGCCTTTCCGCCCCTTCCTCGACCTCTTGGATGACCCGCCCTGTTGTGCAGTGTCTTCTTCCGGCATTTTCGCATAGTAGTCCTCAAGCCATGCTTTCAGCTTCTTCTCGCGCTCCGTCGCCCGTTTGACTCCAGCGAGAGCAAGCGTCTGACCAAGCTCCATCCACTGAAGGAAAGGTTCTCCGGCGTTGACCTGCACGTCTATCCGTTGGCTGACGATTGGGCATTCGTCTAAGACGAGTACTCGCAAGTCCGGGAGTCGTCCTAAGAGACCTTCCAGATCCCGAACACTGACGTTGCTCGTACACATGTCGAGGAGCTCCAAGTGGGGGAAGGACTTCGGGAGAGCATGGAGGTGACGACAGACTTGCCTGCTAGGCACTCTGAGTCGAAAGTGCTTCAAGTCGTGACATAGAGGGGAGACGGCAAGGGTAGATAGAGGATCAAGGCGAAAGAACACCAGTGGCTGCGCGAAGTTGGTAGGGGCTATGGAAGGGTCTAGTGGGTCTTGCACGATAGATAGCGTCGGCAGTGTCTGAGGGGGCCATCGGGACAACGCCAGTAGGGTAGAATCGAAGTACGCTCCCTGCGTGCGATGTGAGACTTGAATATGGAGCGAAGCGGTTAAGGGGCATACCTTCAAGAACTGATAGTACGTCGCACGTTGCACGCTACAGAACCGTCACTACGGGGTGATTACGAGTATGCAATGAGACGTACTATGGACGAAATCGCATGGATATGAACTGTAACCCTTCTTTTGGTCGATTGAATATCTCCTCCATGTGTTCCGGAGCAAAGTTTGGTCCAACGTGCATCCTTAATCGCATCATGAAGGGCAGCAAGGCCATCAGGTTGACGAATACATCTGCATCTATCGTCCAACACTCCAACGAGAAGCACCGGACGCGGGAAGCATTTTGAGGAGCGCGTCGGAGATGGCTGTATAGCCGGAAAACCTGGTCCGGACGTCGCAGGCTGATTCTTTCATAGAGGAGATGTGTAGGCACTGGCGAACGGGGAATGGCTCGGCTGAGGGCAAGAAGCGATTGCTGACGGTCATCATCGTCAAACTGCGAGATGATGGCAATGTACAGCTCGACGGGGAGGTCTTGGAGAGAGGCACCCATTCACAGCGAGAAGCAATAAGTGAATCACTAGAGTAAAAAGGAAGTGTGCCGTAGTCATCCAGCGGAGCTGAGCTGACAAGCCAGCATGCGCGCGCATGCACGTACGTGTGGATCAGCCTGAGATAATCATCCTCGACTACGACACGAAGACATAACAGCCAAGCACATGGAATGGCACATATCGGCAAGAGGGGACTGAATATCGTAAGGGATTGAAGGATCGACAGATGCCTCGAGCGGTTCTCTGAAAAGGAGTTCGGTAGCCTGCACCCTGAGCTGAGCACCGTGCGTCCCAGCCTACTACTGATCTCGGCAACAATACTTCCACCCTTGGCTCAGGCTTCTTCATACGTCCCACTCGTCGCCAAGAGATATCGCAAGAGAGCACGGGCCCGAGACCGATATGTGGTCAGTGGCTCATTATCGATCTCGTATGAGAGGCCGTTATGAGATGTAGCTTAAAACCCGTCTTGCTTAAGGAACGTACGTAGCAGAGCATGCAAAAGCATTACGCCTAAGGTAGAGCCATATAGGACTATCTGATACATTTATAAGGGATTCCATGGTATATCCCTCAGCGTTCCTTCGAGGGCCGCTTGATGATGCATCGAAGCAAGGGCAAATTCACTATGCCTATATGCATGTTGAAAGTCGACGATCCGCATTGTTCCATCCGCGGCTCGCAGGAAGTGCCGCCCGTCCGACATGCAGAGCGAGTCGGATCGTTCGTACAATTGGCCGTGATACACCCCGGCTGCGTGCAGCTTGTGAACGGCGTGCATGCGTAGACGTCTGTATGTATGTCAACTCTGTCGTCAGTGGCGGACTCGGGTTCATGTCATTTCATCGCACTTACAGCTCTTCCTCTGTCGGTTTTCCAAACGTCGTATGGTCGTTCTGCGGACACCACTCCAAGATAAGGCACCCGACGTGATAGCCTTCTTGTACCGTCCCAGTAAAGAAGCCGCCGAATATGGGGACGACTGTGCCCTGGAGGTCAGCCAGAGGCCCGTCGTACATGAGCGCCTCTCTCCGCAGCGAATCGATGGCACGTTGTCCGCGAACCCACTTGACTGCGACCTCGACAGGTTCCGGTGGGTCGAGGTTTGGAACGGGATAGTACTTCATGGTGGCACGGTAGAGCCATCCGCGGTTGATGTCCCCGACGGCCTGGTTGTCCGTCCACTTAGCGCCACCCAATCGACGAGACGGTTGCTGGTCCGAGATCTCGAGGATGACGTCGCCATAGTGCTTGTACTCGTACTCGTAAGCCTTGTCCGACTCGAGCCGATACATGACGGGATGGTCAGAGCCCCGTCCAAAGACCACGTCGACGCAGATATCTTTCGGCATAGCTAACTAGCCGTAGGTGGTACGCACAGTAGGTCGGGGTATGAGAGGTTCGAGGTTTGGCAGATGCGTTGGACAAGGTCCTCTTTCCTCCTTATGTGGATCATACTCCGTGCTTGGGTCCATTGGGCGTGCTGCACCTTCGAGGCAAAGCATGCCATCACCCACGACAGACATTTATTGCTGTGTGGCTCAGGCCGCTTTGGATGTCAGACAATGATATTATTGAATTTGACATGTCGGAGACGCTATTCGTAAAACGTCATCGGTAGTCAAGCACGGTTGAGAGCGTTCACCTAACGCATATTCCGTCAGGAGACATTCGAGCGTAGGTGACCATGCTACATTGTGGAGAGAGCGGGGAGTCGCGTACAACAATGCGCTGATGAGTACAACAGGTCAATCGACTTACATAAATCTGGTAGTAAGCTAAATCCTTGAGGTCCTCCGGATCTTGGAACAAATAAAGGTGAGACAAGCGTACATGTGGTTAAGTGCCTTCCGTGCCAGGGTTCCACTCCGCATCAAGCAACTGGATGCCTCGTCGGCCCAGCTTGCGTCTCCAGAGCAACATCTCGCCCTGCACACCCGCCTGCTGCGCCTTAGTCGACATGCCGTTTCTGAGCCACTTGACATCACGCGCCCGAACGAACCTCAGCCGCGGGAGCTTAGGCAGCAGCTTCTCCAGGACGACGAAATATTCGGGCTTGGGTCTGGGGATGGATAGGATCTCGAGGTGATGCTGCTCTGCTTGCGAAAGCGTGAGGGTGGGGAGAGGGAGCTCAAGCGACACGTGCTTCAGAGCAGGACATATGTCGAGGAGGGTCCCGGGGGTGGGAAAGAGGATGGTCGGCCACTGCTTCACGGTATAGAGGTGTAGAGATGTGAGGTGTTGCCCATGTACGGCAAGGAATCGGGGGACGAGGCATCCCGGAACTGATACTTCGTCGTAAGGCGTCAGGGTGAGATGCCGTAGGGCAGGGAGGGGAGAGTACAGCAGTGCGAACAGCACGGGAGAGGAGGGCATGGAGAGCGCGACGAGTTTGCGCAGGAAGGGGAGACGGAGCGGATAGAAGGTTGGTGGCTCGACGGGACGGGTATCGAGCGAAGAAAGCTCGCTCTGGTCGATACCCGTGCCCATGATCTCCAGCTCTTCTAACCTGGTGCAGGCTCTGAGGAGTTCAACGAAGAGATCCTCCTCGGTTCTCATAGACGTGGTGAGTTGGATACTTCTCAGTGACCGCATGTTCTGGATACCATCACGATGCGTCAAGCTGGACAAAGCGCGACGACTGAGCACAGCGTGCGGGTTAAGGATGAGGTCGGTCAAGAACGGAACAACGGGGAACAACTTGTTCAGCACCGTGTCCAGCTGTAGTACGTCCTCCGAAGACGTGCATCGGAGATGCTCCAAATTGAGGGTGTGGATCCACCGTCCCGGCGCGGAATAAGGGATTCGCCGGATGGAATCCCAGGTCTTGTCGGCGGCGTGCAGACGAGCTGCAAGCTTTTCGAGCACGCGCAGAGATGGAGCTTGAATGAATGCATAGAACAGCGGCAATGCGACAGCCTGTGGCAGTAGTGAGCCCGGAACCCAATGGGTATGCAATGCCTATGCTCACATTGAATGACTTCGAGACCCGCAGGAGCCCCAGTTTCATAGCCACGACATCCTGCTCCGGCCCAGCGTCCTGCGCGTTGTATTGAGCGAAGACATATTCCAGTACGCACTCCCAGAGCTCAGACGGCAAGAAAGCGCGTGCCGGTTTGTCCGGCAGAAGAGGGATGAGTGGGAATCTCCCTGGAGAGCGAGCGAGCGGTCGTGGACAGAGCCAGATGGTCTCAGAAACAGCGAGAGTGGTACTGGTACTCATGAGCAACGATTGTCTGCCTCAGTGCATGGTGTTAGAGGTTGATAAGCGAGGAGCGTATCGTGGGTGGGGGAGGGTGTCGCATGCGGAGGCTGGCGGGAGCGAGGCCATGATGGAGGTTGGTCATGGTGGTCGTGCGACACGCCATCGGAATGCCGTCCCGTCTACAGCCGGTTTCAGCTCGCTTGTCGTGAGAGCGCCGCGCCGCATCTCACGCATTTGCCCGTTTTCCCCTTCTAAGCGCCCCCAAAGGAACTTCGGACGACGATATCTCCTCGACTGCTCAATGTAACCACCTCATTCTTGCATATTCCGGCTCAGGATTACGACGCGCAGGGCACGGTATTGGATTGAAGTCGCGCCAACCCGATGTCACCAACTTCTGGGCATTCCCGCTCTTCCAACTCCCTACTGGACTCAGACAGCGTTGTTGGCCCAATGGCATCGTGTACTGTTCCGGAAACAGTCGGGATGGTGAAGAAAAGACACTACCAAGGGCTCTGTGTTCAAAGGCGAGTTTTCCAGCGACAATCACGTCCACCATAGGGTGGGCTCAGGTGGCAGCCCTCTTGGGCCAGCTCAAACTCCTCGTCGGGGAGCACTAGACACCATGAATTTGTGAGTTATCTGCACCTCCACTATCTCTGTGGTCTTGCAAGGCGTTGGGGGGCATGTAGCCACTGTTGAGTAGGAGGGAGGAACAGACGAGATGGGCAGATTGGAACTGCAAAGGGGAGCTTGTAGAACACTACAATTGGCAACCGATACAATTGCAACAGTTTGTAGGCTTACAGTGGACATATGTGACATGTTTCGTAGCAGATATGTGTTGGATTTGACGATATACGACAGAGTGGTATACCAGGCATGTGCGAGAACCATTCGCAGAATGGAGAAAACGTACATCATGGACTCTTCTGCACCATATGCCCTCCGTAACATCCGCCAACAGCTTCCAGTGAGCCTTCCAGGTATCTCCAGGGGTTGTTTAAAGATATATGCGCGACAGATGCAGAAGACAGCGTGAAACCGACCGAAGGCGGGTGGAACATCCGACATACGAGCGGCCAACTTAAAACCGGCACCGTGCCCTGCGCGTCGTAATCCTGAGCCGGAATACGCAAGAATGAAGTGGTTACATTGAGCTGTCGAGGAGATATCGTCGTCCGAAGTTCCGTTGGGGGTGCTTAGAAGGGGAAAACAGGCAAATGCGTGAGATGCGGCGCGGCGCTCTCACGACAAGCGAGCTGAAACCGGCTGTATAACGAACCGTTATTAACGGACGCCCTCTTGGACCTCTTGTTAACACGTGTTATTTACGGTTAATTAACCGGGCGCTAAACCAAGTTCACAAGTTGTTGACCCGAGTAATAAACATCTCAGTCGACCGACACGGTCCCTAGAACTCCGAGACACCTCGCCATTGCAAGTACTGTAAATTTGACGAGGCATGACATCAATGAGCTGTGTGGCGACGAATCCCGCTCTCCCTTCGAGATCTTAATCAGACCAAGCTCACTGGCGGCTTTGGCCAGCGGCCTGCATAAATTAGAGGCACCAAGCTTGCAGTTCACAGCAGCACTACTCTGGCCTACAGTAAACGCAATGAATGCGGTCTATGTTTGTTATTGCAGTCAAAAGGACGCTCAAATGGGTCCTAGTTTTGAACAATTCTTGACATGGCTATCCAGACTCGTACTGTCTAACTGTTTATTAACAGGTTATTGACTTGTTAATAATTCACGTGTTAACAATTCGGATTTGTTGCCCGCACCCTAGTCCCGTGCAAGTCCGCGTCGGACCCGCGCGCCCGTTATGAGCCTGTCGGCTTTCGGTCTATACAGTCATACACGGGTCCTCGGGACACCATGGGTCCTCGGGACACTGCGCATTTTCTGACCCTCCCTCTATCCTACTACCTCAGGTTTCTGTATATATCTATATAGACTTCTTACAGCTCACCTCTCCTCAAATTTCATCAGAGGCGACCCAGAAGTGAAGTCACCAGCCCAGTTTCTGTACAAGATTTACACGAAAACCAAATCTGGGACTGGTTCCCGCCCAAATCTATACTCACCGTGCCCATGGGCGTGCCCCATTTCTGGTGTACAACAAGGCGACATATATCTCCTTCTCTCAACAACTTTATATGGTGAGATTTTGACACTGAGCCCTGATAGTCATCGACACAGTGTGGAAGGGTAGTTCTTTCGCTCAAGCAATCGGGCGTTTAGATGTCCACATACCATATCTGGGCTCGGCTATCCTCGGCAACAGCAATTTTGTTCCATACGAGGGAATTAAGCGCTGTCCCGAGGACCGAGGGACGTGCGATAAGAGAAATTTGGGATGATTGTGCCCGATCCCTCTCACACATAGTTGGATTACCATGAAACTTAGGCGTGCAATGCCTTGTTGTGTACCATACATGATGGCATTGTCCGATATGGGCTGCACAGGTAGGGGATGGTTTGGGATGAGCGACAACATTTGACTGTCCCGAGGACCCGTGTATGTGTCACAGCCAACGAGCTGTGCCACCAAAACAAACAAGGGCAAAGCTTACTGATGCAGAGGTTGGTGCTGAGAAGCGAAGCAACCAGAGGTGACACAGCAAGAGATGTGAAGAGATGTATTCCCTAGACTAGAAGGGGTAGTGAGGGAGGTAGGGCTGCTAGCTACCTACAGAGGAGATGGGGAATCGACGAGAAGATCAAGTCTGAGGTTCCCTGCCTCAGACTCCCTACTATATATACTAATACAATGGTGCACAGACCAGGTACCTATTGACCATCGTTTGGTCAGAGCTCTCTGCCTCATGTCCTACCCTCTGACCTGCCTCATGGTGACCTTACGACTAATACCTGAGTCGTGCCGAGTCCGGACCCCTCCCAATGAGTAAGCGCTCCTGCTGTCACATCAGTCACCTGCCTGTGAGTGAGGATGGGCGCTCCTGGCTGTCA